GTCACCTCCCGGCTAGCGTCGCCGTCGAAATAGTAGATTCCCTTGATGTAATGGAGCTTCATCGCCAAATCGAGGCCGCTCAGATGATATCCGCCGTCCAATCCGATCGAGTTGCCCGGACCGACGGAGGAGATCCGGACGCCGTAGACGAGGCTCTGTTCTTCTTCGCCGGAAACCATGGGGACGGCGGAAAAGGAAGAAGAAGAAGATGGAGAAGGGCGTGCGGCGTCGATTTGGGGGAAATTGGGGTTTTATAAGCGGTCGTTGGGGTTTTGTCGCAGCCGGTAAGGTATATTTAATGGCATTTAATTACATAACTGATATATATATATTTTTTTACTGGCTGTTATTTTAGTTAGTTACTTTTAATGGGTTTGTATGGCGGTTAAATTAATGAAGTTAGTTATAGTGATCTTGTTGTAGTGAAAAAATATACGTAGGTACTTAATTGCGTGAAATTTTATTGAATTAGATTGTGCTATTTTGAACTCTGGTAAGCCTATAACTTTTGAGATGTTTTGATTGCTTTGTTCTTTTTCTTCAGGTACATTTGGTATGGTGCTATAACTTTGTTCCGAGATTTCCGAGATTTCTTTACTAGGATTGACCTATATTTAGATGTTCGAGTAGAATTTGGATCATTCCAAAAAATATGGAGATCCAACTACAAGAATCTTTGATTTCTTTTTGAAGAAGAAGTCATCACTTTTTTTGATGTGCCACAATGCAATTAAAGAATCTACGTCCTACTTAATGATCACTAGATGTAGATTTACAGTTTTTCAATAATTAAGAGGGGCGGAAGATTGAACCATCAACTAGAGATATATAGAAGTACTTTATCCATTTATGTTATGTTCGAACTGGTGCAAAAAAAAAATAAAATAAATAAAAAATCAAGGTACTTTGTTATAGTTTTTCTCTCATGTATTCAACAATGTAGCCTTGGGACAACTTTTTAATAACTAAATGGGGTCGTTATTTTACTAATTTTGCTAAATATTTTTGTCATACTTACCACTACCCTATGTTATTTATTTATTTTTACTTTCACTTTCACTTTCACTTTCACTTCCATACAATGTGATGTATCCTAGATGAATTAAATATTTATATTCAAAGAATATAAGGTGGGAAAATTTAATGCAAAATTTATTGCTTTTATGGGTTATTTTTTGGTTTAATAGAATATATATAAATCTATTGTTATTATTTTGAGTTTAATAACGATGAGATGAGAGATTAAACATTTAATCTAAACAAGATAATTAACATATCTTATACCTCTAATTATGCTCGAATTGATTATGAAGTTATTGCTAAGTTAATTATTGTAAAAAATATATATGTTGTTAAGTTAAATGAATATTTTTGTCACTCATAAATGATGGTTGTTAGGACATTGGTCCAGACCTTCTGGAATCTGGAGGGAGTATTGTTAGGAGATTAATGGAGCTTTCTTTGGAATAAATTGGATGTATACTTTTCACAAAAATATTTTGAAAACTATAATGATTTTTGTCCACGTCATAAACCAAATCTATTCACTAAAAAGTTGAAAAAAAAAAACAAAATCATGTACTTTTCCAAATACTTTATAAAATATATAACTAATATTTCGACAAGTTGAGTTAGGCGTAGGTTAAGTAAGCAGCCAATATTTCGACAAGTTGAGTTAGGTGTAGGTTAAGTAAGCAGCTAACTTATGGTGGGATGCTGTGATATCAATTATTGATCTCTATTTTTTAAGCTTAAATGATTTATTTGAATTCTATTAAAAAGATATATAAAAGAAGAGATTGAATTTTTTTCATAAACTTAAAATTTTTTGATACGTAAACTATCATTTTGGTTGAGCGCTACAATATCATTGGTATGTCATCACTTTTCTTTCAAAAAAAACACATTTAAATTTTAATCCACATTTCCAAAAAAAAATTGATTTTTTTTCTAGTTTTCAAAATTTGAGTTAGATTTAAAAACGTTTCTAAAAAATAGGTAGAAAACAAAGAACCCTATTTAGGGAGTGTGATAGAGAACTTGAGATCCGATGCGAACAATCAATCGACGGAACGACAAGCCTTTCCAAGAGATTCTCTTAGTAAAGCGCATCGTTGTCATTCCTTTTGAGTCATCATTTTCCGCTTTTCTTTCTTACTACTTCTCTTGGTGAATCAACCAGAACCCAATGAATAATGCGGGTCTTCGTTCAACTATTTCACGGGACTTTTAGGCTACAAAGCAAACTCTCCTGAATAGGACAGATTCGGAAGTGACTAAAGAAGTCGAAAAACATAATTAGTTGCATAATATTTAGATTTCTTCAGAAAATTAGAAACGAAAACTTCATCAAACACGAAATRGACTCTGAAAGAACGAAAACTTTGATTACACTCTTAGCAAGAAGTTGACTCGACCTAGCAGACCAACCAACATGGCGACAATAGAAATAAAAATAAACATTCAAGTAGAACATTATTAGAAAAAAATATGTTGGACATTGATGTAGCATCTACCAAATATCGATAACGCAGCAATAATATCAGAAATGAACTGTTTTTTCGGTATCCGTATGCAACTTTAGTAATGAATAATTATTACGTGTCAGCTGTACATTGGGCTGTTATTTTCAATTAGTTAGCAGTACCAGTCAGAATAACATATCCAGAGAAGAGGAGAGATGGGGATAGGACTTTATTGTAATTTTGCTGATTTTTTTTTACTGAGATTTTTTCTTTTTTAAAAGAATGAATTATATCTTGTGCAGAGAATAGAAGGTGGGAATATTTAATGCAAATTTATTGCTCTATTATTATTTTTTATTTTTTGGTTGAAAATTGGCAAGCTAATTCATGGTGGATCTAGAATTTTTATGTGAGAGGGGTTAAATTCAATTAAAGTTTAGTTTTTTACAATTATAGTAATTTCTTGAAACTATTTTTTATTTAAGTATCCATTTCTAATATATATATTTAATGTAAAAAAAGTATACCAAATTTGAAGAAGAAAGGGAACATAAATTAATAGATATTATTTACAAATCAAATAATTGAATACGTCATTTTGTTAATATTTTGATAAATACAAATTTATAAAAGGAAATACGATTTGCAATTAAATTTATAAGAGATAAAAGAGTTTAAATAAAAGATTAGTACATGGGCGTGGCCCAATTTAGTTCCTGGTCTAAATCTATTTGATTTTGATTTTGTTTTGTTTTTTTTAGTTGGTTTTGTTATTTATTTATTTATTTATTAAGATTTTGTTATTGAGTAGTTTTTTTATAAGTTCGTGTTTTTATATTTAACTCCAAGTGACGTAGTGAATATGTTAGGTCGGTAATGTGATTGCAAACAAAGTCCCACATTGACTATAGTGAATGATCATGCATAGGACAATTATCTCCACTGGTATGAGACCTTTTGGATGAAACAAAAAACAAAGCCGTGAAGGCTATGCCCAAAACGAACAAAAATTTCATATCAAAGTGGTCGATTTTGCAGAATTTCATAGAATGACAAATTAAATCGCATATTTAACATTGTCATATTTGAATTTCTAATCAATAAATTTAGATTAAAAGTCTAAATTAGTAAAATTTTAATTTTTATTTTTCCTGCAAACATCCAAACAAACAAATTTAATATAATTGATTTCAAATCATTATCGTTCCAAACAAGATAAAGAAATTAAAATCATTTTTTGAATTTCAAATTACGAAATTTAAAATAATTTCTTGAACATCACTCTAATTTATCGTTGTTTTATGTCATTCTTAGTTGGATGGTGCATTGGTCCCGACCTTCTATCTCTATTTTCGGCCAATTATTTCGACTTAGAACACCTACGAACAATAGTCATGCAAAATTGTCATTAAAAAAAAATCCGAATGATAGAAAAATATATCTATTGCCATTATGATTGTGCAACTTTAATGTTCAAGTGCAACAACTTTTGTTATCTCAAAGTAGAAGAATAATACTTCTTTTATGTTGGGAATGGCGAACCAAGATGCATAAGTCTTACCATGACACAACGACTATGTTTTTTTATCTCCTTTGTTTTCAAATCTATTTTCTATTATTACAACCTTTTAAAGGAGTATAAACCAATAATATTTACGATCAAAAGTTCCATTAAAAATTTGACAATTTTTTTTAATARAAATTTTAAAAAATCTCATTTTCGGTAATTTTCACTTGATATTGAACTAAAGGTGAAATTCTTAATTTTGTTGATTTTGATTCACAGTCCACATATTATCCAAACAAGTGTACTCTCTTGGCCACATCATGTAAGTTATTATTTGTGGTCCAACCAACATTCAACATCAACCTTTAATTAATGATTTTCTTAATAGAAACTTACTAGATCTAAAATTCAAATTAAAAAAAGGCAAAGTTTAAAAATATACAATATAACCGAAACTCAAATGTTCCTTTTTTACATGTTATTTTATTATTTAACATAAATATGTAGTTTTCTTTTATATAAATATATAAAGGAAATAGTAGTTTAATTAAAAAGAAACATCATATAGACATAAATCACTCGGCCATTTGTAGCACCAAACTCCCCAACTTTTTATTTTGCTCTCCATGTGATCTCATGGGTTACCCCATTTTATATTATTGTCGTGTCTAGAGTTAATGATAAGTGTCAAGTGATGATTTTTGCTACTTCTTCCATGAATAGATAAACTTCCGTAAAATCTTTCTCCTCAATGTTCAGGATTCAAATGACTTCAAGACTATTGGTGGTCAAAATCAGACTTGACACGTGTCATCCCCTACTCAGTTTGGAGTTGTCAGGAGGTAGAAAACAGGTCATCCTCATCCACCGACCTGAACCATGCCGAACTGAGATCATGAAAAGTTGTACACGCTAATCTGAGGAATCCGACCACCGACAGTACCAACAGTCTTGTCTCCCCCACCTGTCTATAAAATGGGCACTACACCCAAGTCTCAGGTACTACAGTTCGAGCTTGTAACTAACTTGGACGTCAGAGTGTTTGTTCCCTGTGCAGTTTCACTTGCGAGCACCTCATGTGCTCGTCCTCGTTAACAACCGACCAGTGAACTCGGTGGAAAACAGCATCAACAAAGACAATCGGATTCCACACATCGCCATGACTTGTAGAACTTTAATTTGGCCATTTCTTCTCGTGAATTTTGTTTTTCTTGTTCTTGCAAAACATTCCATCTCTCCACGTGGTTGGTTTGTACCAAGTTAGGAATAGTGTGTTTAGACTTTAGAGAATACTGTGGGAATTGAATAGAGCCCATAGAAACATCCACCACACGATCTCTCATCTTCATCTCACAGTTGGCGCATAGAGGGAGAGTTTGTTGAGAAATCCGGGCGTTGATGACCAGTTTCTGGCCCATAGAGAAGGCCCGGCGCCGCGGCGCTGCCCGTGGCCCCCACCATATCCCTCTCACTCTCTTCTGTTTCACTTCACTCCAAATCAACCCTAAGGTTGGACAACATCCACTTGAATTCTACCTCCTCTTTTCCTTCTAGAACCTTTTCCACTTTTCTCAACCTTTTTTAATATATTACTTTCATCTGTGTATTTTCAGAAGGTTTATTTTCGCTTCTGAACTTTTAGATATTGTTCATTTTAGTCATTGTACATTCAAAACATCGTTCTTAAAAATGACCGTTTTGATCCATTCATTTTATTTTTTGTCTCTTTCTTTTTCTACTGTGCACAATTTTAACATGACATTATACCTTTTTTTTTTTTAATATACCAAAGATTTCATACAAAAGGGTTTCGATTGTTTCAAATTTTGGAAAATAGAGGGACCTTGCTGTCCTCAGCACCTTTGGCGAGTGTGAGAGAGAAATGCAAAAATAGAAATTTATTTTTTTTAAATAATAATGAGTTGTCAATATTTAATGTTGAGAAGTACAAGATCCCTTTTTATTATCCTGAGAAGTAATTTTCTTAAAATTTTGTAAATAGAGATCAAAACCGTTGCTTTTTAAAAGTAAAAAACACTAAAATGAAAGTACAATAACTAAAATGAACCAAAGTTGAAAGTGTGAAACATTTTAAAAGTATAAAAATTAAAATGAAACGAAAGTAGCATTTCATAGTTACAAAATGTTTCTTTAATCACTAAATTCTTTAGATTTGTTTCTAATAAGTCACAAAAATAAAAAAGTATTGTTCTTTTAATTTTGTATCGAATAAATTACTATTTTCTTTTACCATTTCATGGGTGCGTCTAACCAATGATTGGTTTTCTTCTTTGGTTCTTTTTAACAATTTAATGTTTCATTACTATAAATTTTTAGAAGTAGATGTACAGTAACCTTTATTTCCAAAAATGAATTATTATAAAATAGACCTATAACCATCACCAAATTATTTTATATCATTAATCTCCTGTCCTTGCAATGTTTACTGGCCACAAATAATAAACCAATTATTTTCATTATCATGGTGATCTCTGATATTTTTTCTTCTTTTTTTAACATGTTCGGGAGTGGATTCGAACTCGCAACCTCATAGTTTGAGGTATATGTCAATTACCACTAAGCTATGCTAACTTTGACATATACTTTGACATATACCTCGACACTTTGATGGTAGGGGCGCACAATACAAAATTGTACAACTTCTCTACCTTAAAACAAGTTAATTAATGGTCTTTCTTAAAATAATAATAATAATTAATGTTTTGGTTGGAAGGTTGGATGCTTTATATATAAAACGACAACAACTGTTGTATACCTTTGAAACCACTGTTTACAGAACTATAATAATAAAATTATATTTTTTTTTCTGGAAGCATAAGAAGAGACTAAAAAATCTGTAAAAGAACCGTTGCTAAAACATATCTGATATTTTCATCCATTTAGAGATGGTCAGTTCTTTTGTGGCGAGCGGGTTTCTTAGCTATTTTATGAAATTTTGTAGATCGAGAGATTTTAGAGGAGTTGAGAAATCTTGGGAAGATGTGTTTGCTCGATTGAATATATCGATGTTAAGGATCTCACATTGAAAACATAAGAGATGAATARCCAATTGTTTTTGAAGTAGAACTTCATGATATTGATATCAGATGTCAAAAGATATATTTTTTAATTATTCGTCACTGTTTAACCTTTGTTAGATTAGAGTTTGTTCTCTGCATTTAGTCTAGTCCCTAAATTTTTAGAGTTGTGACTTAGTGGTGTATTCAATGTTATGYCAATGGATCCGTGAACTTTAAAAAATATCTCGTGTCAACTTTTATTTCTATATGCTAACTTAGATCATTGTCCTGTTAAACAATTATTTAAAATCAAGGAACTTACTCAACACAAAATCGCGAAATTGAAGACCTATTAGATACAAATTTGAGTATTYATCGACTAAACTTACAATTTAATAGTTATATTTTTACATATATTTCATGGAATATACCATAAACAAAAATATCACTTTCCCCTCTTAGATCATCTAGCTGACTCATGAGTAGATAGCGAGGAGTCTGGGGGACCATAAAAGGAAAATTTTCAAGTTACCACACTAGTGTCGTATAACGTTAAAAAGAAACTTATAAAGATAAAATTATAACGTGAATAAAAAGAGTACGATACTTCTATAGTACKGAAATTTTTCCTCGATAGGAGATAACCRTCAAGGTACGAAGGATAAGGTCACAAATCAGCCAAAGTTGGATCATCTATCTGAACAGTGGCTGATGGAGAGTTCACAATCAGCATGTTGAGTGGATGGCCTCGTGAAAATGACCTTCAATAATGGCACACATCAAACTTCTACTGCCACCCACTTGCAATTGGCCCCCCTTTTGCCTAACTTATCTTCCATTGCACCATCACTCACACTCAGTGGTTACCTCATCATTGTCTCACTCACAACTATGTTAATGGAGGTCATTTAAAGAGAAATTGCAACATTCTTAGACCTAAAAAGGAGTTCAAATATGGCTTTGGAGGAGAAACCAAGCAAAGTATTGGTTAACAACCTYGTCTAAATTTAAAAGAAACAAAAAACACTTTTCAAAATTTTCCTTAATACTTTCAAGACCTTTCATAAAGGTTTCAAAAATGCCATTTCTAAGCGAACATCTCAAATGAAAAATTCAAAAATGCCATTTCTAAGCAAACATCTCAAATGAAAAATTGACGTAGCATGGCAAAAATTCAGTAGACAATGGAAGAAGAAGACTTACAAAATTTGGTAGACAATCAAAGCTGATGTTTGGAGGGTAGTATTGGATGAGGATATTTTTGAAACAAGTGGCAAAGTACAAGGGTATTTTTGTAATTTAGCCGATAAACAAATAAATAACCAAAAACTGTTATCCATCAGGGTCTTGAACATTTCCATCTCTGCTTAAAATAACATTCAAGTCACTAAAGTATCTGCCCATGTAATTAAGATCAAGTAATCATGGATAGATTGTTCTAAAGGTCAGTATGGTATGGTAAACTCATATATTCAAGAAACTCTATTTGCCATATCTGCCATATATATACATTCAGTACTAATTTGCTAGTGATTTACATTCCCTGTGGAACAACTTCCMAATTTGCAGACTGAGAAATTTGGGTTTCACAGAGGAAGTTGAAAGTTCTATAGAGATCAGTAGGCTAAGTGTATAAAAGAGGGCTAAATTATTGAATCTAGCTAGGTATATATAACTATATCAGTGCTATGTGCAGGATGTTTGGAAGTTTTAGAGCAGGGGAAAAACCAAATCATATGTTCTTTTGCCTGCGCATTCGAGCTCCCCATGACATGTTTTCTCTTGAATCCTTGTACATGCTTCTTCTCTTCAATTCTGACAGCTGATCCTCCCAACGGTTCTTCCACCCACTTTTCTCTTCCATGTCCTGAGAAGTTCGAGGAAAGAAACAAGTACAGGATTACAAATAGGAAATTGTGATGCAGAAACTAGAAGGATTAATATCTGTCAGTGTGCAGCAGTCGTGATTTGGTACTATCTGTTTTCGTGCACTTGAGTCATTTGAACCCGGATTGGGTTTCATTTTTAGTAAGGAATGTGTGAAATAAACAAGGTGAAAACCATGAAATGTCATTGAAAATATGATTTTCTTGTATGATTTTGTCATTTTCAAATTATTGTAGAAGAAGGCTACAATTTTTAACAAGGGAGATAGAAGAAAGGATCAGAAATTGGTATCTGTACATGGACAGTATACCTTTGTAATTTGTAAATTTTGGTTCAACAAAGAGTTAAAAAAAAAACACTCATCATTGTGTTCCAAGAATATGTTCTTCATCTAATTGCCGTACATAAAATTGCGGAATCAAAGAAAAGTAGATTGGGTTTCTATAAATGGATGAAAAAATCAAATCAAAGGATTTTTACAGTTCAATCCCAACGCCAATTCATGTAGAAGCATGAAAATAAAGCTAAAGTTCAAAAAGTGRAAATCGCGATCGAGTGCTAGGAGTAGTCCAAATTGGATGAACGAATTGGTCAAACAAATTAGACATAAAATCCATAATTACTAGCAAGGACACAGAATCAGAAGCCCACAGGTCAATAATCAATTCAATAAAACGAAAAAAATTGCAATAAAATAAGGGCGGGAAGAGATCCTAATTAATTCAGCCCCAATTTTCGACCGAAACAGAACGCCTAAAAAACATACCTCACAGTTGTCGTGGCGTCTTCGAGCAGAGAAAGCGAGGTGAAGACCTCTGGCCATGTCTCTATCATACAGCGCTCTCGTTCCAGGATCGGACAACGTCTCGTACGCCTCCTGAACCTTGATGAACTTCCTGGTATATTCCTCGATCCGGTCCGGCGGCGAGACGTCCGGATGATACTTCCGAGCCATCTGCTTATACGCCTGCTTAATCTCCACCAGCGACCCCGACTCCGGCACTCCCAAGAGCTCGTAGAAGCTCAGCTCGACGGCCTCCGACACCAGCACCTCGTTGACGACGGCCTTAGCTCTGACAGACGCCGAGGGATGCCGGACCGATTTGGGAAACGAAACCTGCGAATTTCCCTCCRGCGGAGAGGCTCTTCTCGGAGAGAAGATCGGAGGCATCGCCGGCAGATAGCAACGTGAATCGGTGCCGGATAAAGCCAATCCGTAGCAACGCATCTCTCTCTCTCTGATTTCTCCTTYCGATTTTGAATCGGCCCTACGCCGCGCCGCTCTGTGTTCTTGGTTTCAACGACGGAGAAATTTTTCTCTCTCTCGCTCTCTTGGCGGTGTTCTTGAGTGCAGAGGAAATTTTTATGATTCCCAAAAATTTTTTACGATTTCTTTTCTTCTCGGAATTGGCTTCGGTTTAAATAAGCTCGAAAAGGGAATCTTCTTCGTTAAGTTAAATAAATTTTTTTTTTCCTTTCTTTTTTATATTTTTGAAAAAATAAATTGTAATCTATTTACTTTGGGAGTTGGGTAATTGAATACGAGTACCTATTTCAGATACCAAAGGATATTTCGAGAGAAATTTCGCTTCAATATATATTTTACAAAATTGTCACATATTTTTATTTTATTATTTTTTCTTTTACATTTGATTTTCATTTGAATTAGGATGCTGTCAAAAGAAATATATATATATATATATATATATATAGGATTAATTTATTTCATAAAATTTTATTTTATGCTATTTAAAACCAATATTACCTCAAAAAAACAAACATAAAAATATCACATTTTTTATTTATTTTATATTATATTATATTTGAGTTTGATTTGAATTGTGATTTTTAAAAATATACCGAATTAATTATTTTATGAAATTTTATTTTAACAAATATATTTATTTTATGCTATTTACATAACTGAACTCTAGATAAATTCAAACTATAAAGGGTCATTTTTTAATAGTATAATATTCTTAAAAGAAAAAAAAACAAGTTTTAGTTCGAATTCAATTGTGAAAGAGAATTTGAAAAAATTGGATCAAAATATCGCCGGGCTTGGAGCCATACCTTTATTTGAATGATAACATTTAAAAAATCATTCATTTACGATGTTCAATAATAAATTATCAATTTAAAATACAAGTTTTTAGATGTTGTAGAATTAGTTGAAATGTGTATAAACCGACTTAGAGAGCCTGTCTTTTAGTTTCAAAATTTTGGATCTTACTTTATTCTAATTTCTTCCAATCTTAAGTGACTTGTATATAAAATAAATTTGCATGAGTTGACATGGTGTGACTACATAATCGAGTCGATTAACATGTAATCTCGTTAACCGTCCATTAATAATATTAGCAATAGGATGTAAATAAACTATAATCCGTAATTATTTTTTATTTGAGTTGAATAATTTAATCAATGGTTTGAACTAATGTTAACTCTGGTCAAGTTTATTAACAATTTACAAAGGACAAACACACTCCTAATTGAAAAAACCATGGAAGAAAAGACCTAGCCTATAAAACAGACGAACACACCGAGAAAGCGAACTTAGCCAAAGTATCAACCTACACGTTCAAACTCCACTTAATATGAGTAAATCGCACACCCTCAAAATTCCTGCTCAACTTCAAAATATCTCTCAGCCAAATGTTCAGTTCATTTCTAATTTCCACTCCTTCTGCCTCCAAACAATCAAACGACACCACCAGAGTTATGACATTCATCTTTGAAGTCAGAAGGAGAGCCACGTTGATTGCACACAGCTACGCTTGAAGGGGAGATAACCCATTATAAAAATTTAATGATTGTTGATCTAAAGTAATAATTGTTTTCTTATTATTTTATTTTTTTTTAAGAGGAATGGTAATAATGTTTTATTAATGAGCTATGCAAAGATTAAAATATATTTTACGTTATCTTTACAGTTGTATTTCATTTTCCCAGTTGAGTTGTCATTAGGGCCACAAGTATAAATAACATACACTAAATCTATTAAATGTTGGATCGTTAATAGTTATAGATATAAATATAGCAATTAATCAATTATTGAATAATATCAGCAAAAATAGCAAAATGACAACAAAGCCCACATTCCATATTTGAGTGAATGTTTAAAAATGAATATCAATTTAAAGATAGATATCAAATATATAAAATAGAACAAAATCCATTACACAAAATATGAAAATTTATTTATTTATTATTATTATTATCATCATTCTAGAAAACTAGTAAAAGTTAGTATAATATGTGTGATTGACATGTGTTTTTTCTTTAATAAATACAATTAATTTTTAAGGGCTTTTTTGATATAATAATAAATAATGTAAGCCAAAAAATGGAATCCACCCCTAGGCTTCACAAGCCACCAGATTTGGAGAGGGAAAAACAATGGTCTCGTTTCACTAGTCCCATGGGTTTCCAAAATATTTTTAAGGAAAAAAAAATACAAATTCAATTCCTATAATTTGGATTTAATTTCAATTCATCGGTAAATTAAAAATTTTTAATTTAATCTTTATAATTTGAGATTAGTTTCGATTTCGTTTTAAAGGTCTAAAAATTTCACTAATTGAACTATGATATGGATGACTACGACACTAAATTAAAAAAAATATAAACTCGATATCATGAAAATAGAAAACATTTATATGTCACATATTCAGTACACTAACAACATAGATAACTTATAATATTTGAAATTATAGTGACCAAATTGAAATCAAGTTCAGATCATGAAAATTTTAAAATTATAAGGATTAAATTGAAAATTAAAACATAATAAAATTTATTAATTAACCGAGAAAAAATGTGAATAATATCCAGTGTCACAGTCACTCTAATTCGAAAATTAGATAATACTGCTATTAAAATCCATGAGTATTTAGGTTTAATGGTAATAATTTCATAAGTTTGAACTTTTAAGGTATAATGACAAGTATTTTATAGTTAGGTAACTAGCATCAGCGATTTATTATTATTGTGGGAGTTTGCCAAATGTCTATAAGCATGCATATTCATGTCATATAATAATAATAATTATTATTATTATAATCTTTATCATTTGGTATAGTTGAGATAACTAAGACATTTATTTTCAATAAAAAGTCGTGAAGTCGATTCAATAAGTTTCACAAATAATTTTTATTCACATATCAATTTTAAGATCTTAAATGTTTTCAAAATATTTTAAAATAATTATTGTGGTAGCTTTTACGTTAGCTACAATAAATGAAAAGATAAAAGTGACATATTTGTGATCAATATTACATTGTCTTTTTATGCCTATGTGATACTAATTAACCAAACATCATAATCTGATGTGATATATGACGTTTTTTTTTTCTCAATAAGATTGACTGTTATTCGAGGAATTATACGACAAATTTTGCTCTTTAAATATGGACAGGTAAGATTGTTTATGAGGTTAGAAGTTACAATAAAATGAAAGTGAAAGATATGAATGGAGAAGATAAGAAACTTCATTCAACATTGTTCACTCGACTTTATACATAAAACAAAAAAAATTGATAGGAATGTAACAAATAAAAATAGTCACAATCAATCAAACCAATGTCGTGTAGATGGACATGTATATACGAAGCCTTCCGCATATAATAATAATACATATCTTACGAGAGTTTAAACGACAGTATAGCCACAAAATTATTACGTTATAAACAATAATTCAAACTCAGTTGAACTAAAAAAACCCACTGTCAAATAACAATGAGGAGAATAATCACAACTTGTGTTTGGTTATAAGATCACTCATGTTTAACCAAGAATATTTAGAAAATGATGAAAAATGTAACTAACTGAATGTATTAATTTTATCATTCACTCAAGTTTTAAAGTTTAATTAAAATTAAAATTGAAACATTGAGCTTAAAAGCAAGTATGAGACAGTTTTTAGATGGCTGAAAAATACTGATGCCGTCTCCGTCCGCTTAGGTGAGGTGAGGCGGGAAATCTTCGTTTAAATTCTTGGCGAGGTGGGATGTAATTTTCCTCCCGTCGACGCCCAGTGTAATGAAATAAAAAAAGAGAGGGGAAAAAATTTCTATCCCGACGAATTCCCCATTCCCAGGAAAGTATGGAAGCATTGTCATGGAAGAAGAAATTTAGTTTTTCTGCATGTTATTGAAAAAGTAGTTGCAGTTTTTGGTAATGCTTCCAAGATATATAGACGTGACTTCATCTTTCTTGCGAGAGTATTTCTGTTTTATTGTGTGTTATGCGTATACTATCCCCTTCTCTACCGGTTCTGGATTAAGAATAATATTCAAATCAAATGTACTTGGTAAGATGAATGTCTGTGATCGATCAGACTCAGACTAGAGATCTGTGCTCATCGATCAATTATTGGGGTTGGCGATGGCCGATGGGATCGGCGTGGGGTCGTTGTTGGGGGGCCGCCGCCGGGGGGATTGGTTGCCATTGCCATTGCCGCCGCCGCCAGGATTGTTGACCAATGGATTCCCGGCAGCACTTTGCAGCCGCTGCGGAAGGCAAAAATAGATCAAGGATTTGTTCGTGATCACCTTCTTTTCTTTATGTTCAAGGAGGGCAAACTTATAATTTTTTAACCTAAAAAATAAAAAATCAAACCTAAGACTTAATTTGGTTTTTGACAAAATATTAGAAAGGCAGAAATCATTTCTTCTTTTGTAAAATTATATTCAATGTTCCTCGTCTTGATTGTTGTTTTTACGATCTAGACACCTTGTCATTCTCTTTCTTTTATCAAACCGTCCTATTCCAACCGCCACACAGCATCCTTCACTAGTGACTACATCATTCCATAATTTGTTCATCGTGGATCATGCATCACTCATTTGTGGGTGTTACACTACAGATCTTGCTGTGGGGTTTTGCGCCGCCATGGGGTGGAGGTAGCTACAGATTTGGTCGGATTTGAGTGTGTGTTTCACCCCATGAGTGTTGTGCCACCGTGGAGGTAGCCACATATTTCGTGAGTTCGTGGGTGTTGTGTCGATGCTCGCTTTCGAAGGAATGTGGCGGCAAGTTTTGGTGGGAGAGAAATAGAGAAACTAGACTTTCATAGAATAAAGGGGAGAAAGGGAGAAGGAGATGTGATTTTTTAGATAGAGATTTAAAATTTAAAATTTATAAATTAAGCATTTTTTCATATTTAAAATTTTTTTAATTGTTTATTAAATATATATTTAAGTGGGTAAATTTGTAAAATTTTGGAGGGAATTCAGTAGTCAAAAGCACCCTATACTCCTCGTACAGGGAGTTTGCAATCACAAACAATATACTGATTCAAATACTTAGCAATATTTGCGATCATCATCCATTTTTAATGATCACAGATATTTTGTCCCTAAACAATTTCATTTTTTTTTTTTATTTTTCGCTACCCTTGACCTATTTTAGGACAAAGGTTTAAAATATTGAATCTTCTAGTAAAATACTTATTCCTTCTAATATAGGATTTATTGGGCCGAAGTCGGAAGCCCGGCCCAAATCCAAGTCCAAACTCCAACCCAGGAAAAATCCTAGAGAGAGCAAAATTTCAAGAACAAATTCTCACCGCCTCTGCTTCTAAAACCTCTCGACGGCCGAGGGGGCGCTGCCGCGCGAAGAAGAACCAGAAGCCGAAGAAACACGTTCCTCTGTTGCACTACTGAATTCAAGTTTTTTCCGATCTGAAGTTCTTCAAGTTTCGATAAGCTCGAAGATTCTGATCTTCTTCCATGGCGACGCCTTCTCACGCCCAAGCTGTCAAGTCCCTCAACAAGTCCGCCGGTCGCCGGCGTTTTGTCGTAAGCATTCTCTCCGCCGCATATTTCCAAGACTCTGTGTTAATAATTTGTTGGTGGTGCTTAGTCTGGCTGTTGCTGCCACTGCCGCCATGGAACCAGTACAATTGAGCTGACTTTGAGCTGGATTGTGCTTGAACTGTTGAATGTTTTTAATGTCTTACGGATGCCTGGCCGAATGTAGATTGTTGAGTGTTTCCTGGGGGTTAATTATGCTGACTAGGCTTTTGTTTTTCTCTTACATTTTACAAATGGGCATGTTTGGGGTGGAGTGAAGAAGGAAGGAGGGGGTAATTGCACCCCTTAATTCGTCTTAGATTAAGATTTTGAAGTTATATAGAAAATTGAAGATTTCGAAGTTATATCTTTAGTTTGTCCCGGAAGATTAAGATACAAAGTTAGAACGTAATCTTTTGGTCCTCCATATGATAGTTCTTGGCTTGCTCTGTGTATGTTTGGCTAACATATGAAGCAGAAGTTACGTGATTATGTCTTCTTTCTGCTTGTATGAGGATCCTGGTTACTAAATATTGCTTCCGAGGTTTAGTTAAACTGTTTCTCTGAGAAAAAGCTAGTTGTTTGTTGTTATTTAACTTTTCTTTTTCCAGTGATTCTCTGTTCCTCTAAAGAGTAGATGATAATTATTTTTGTTGACTTTTTATATATCATGGTTTTTTTTTTCTGCTCTACAGTTCCAGACATTTTCCCAGAGAGTACAAGATATTGACATTGATGTGTACAGAAGCCTCGATAAAGTAAAGTCTGAGCCATCTGAGGGATCCTGCTTTTTTCGGGACTGCCTCATTGAATGGAGGGTATGCCCATGTTAAATTCTGCTCCCTTTTAGTCACTAATTTTTGTGATATATATGTCCAATCTGGTTTAGTGTACTTAGTTTGCTCGGTTGTCATTTCATTACTGCCTGCCACCGTTGTTTGATAAAGTAGCTATGGCCTATGATCAATTTTTTAGTACTGGAATTGAGGTAGTTTGCAAAAGCATCCCATTTTTCTCTCCCAAATAAAGAAATAACGATATCAACTACTTGCATTTAAATGAGCACAAGGTTACCCAGTAGAGTTATTAATGTGAGCAGCAAAGGTAACCTTAAATTGCTATCTTCTCTTTCCTCTGAGCTAGTTTGTTGAAAAGGAATAGGATAAACCTTAAGAAGGTGAGGAGAGATTAGAAAGCAAAAATATCATATGAATGGCCTATGCAGTGTTGTTCATGGTATCCTTCAACAAAAGCACCTGGAGGCTGGATGAATCTGACTTTTGATGTTAATGCTCCGTAATGTTGGTGTTTCATGTTACATTTTTGTCAGGGACTCAATTTATCCAAGGAATTTGTTTTGCATGATCATTTAGCCTTCTCGTCTGCTAGAATTTTTATCATTAATATGTTATCAATATCTTTACTAATTTATTGCATTAATGCAGGAATTAAATACTGCAGAGGATTTTATTTCTTGTTATGAGGAAATCATTCCAGTAGTACAAACATTACCTCTAGTGATACTGCACAAGGAGTCCATATTCTCAAACCTTATTTCCAGAGTACAGATGAAAGCAAGGCTCTCTCTTGAGCCTATATTGAGGTATGCCAAGCTTATTTGGCAATCATCCTTGTGTTGGATATTGTGCCTTAGTTTTCACTTTTCAGTTTATTCTTATTTCTTATTTTACAGTTTCTGCGTGTGTTCTATACCCATGCAGATGATGACTTACATGTTCAGTGTTATTGTTCAATCTCCATACCATATCATTTGTTAATATAACTGTACACGTGATTGTAACTTTTAGTTGGAATGAAGCACCCATCCTCAACATAGTATTTTAAAACCCTTGGAAATTCAAATAATCTTCTAAAAATATTAAAAACTATAAGCAGACTTTTATGTCTTTAATTATAGGCCTTGCAGGTCAAGTGTTTTATGGGGAAGTGACGTGTGTAGGTTCTTCTCATGGCAACATCAATCACCTCCAACGTACTAAAAAACTTGACAAGATCCTATCCAACTTTACCACCATCCAATTCACTTAAAATAAAAGCCACCCATTGCATCTCGTGGTTTAGTCACTCTAAAAACCAAGATTCACTTTCTTACCCTTATCAACTGTGCTACGTGGTTTGTTGGCTTTCCCGTCCCTTTGTTCTTGCTAAGTCACTTTTGTAATGAGAGACAGATTCTAAGAGGTTTTTCTATAGGCTCAAATGCCATAGAAGTAACCCATCTCCAGTATGCTGACGATGTCTTAATCTTCAGCCCCTTATCACAGAAGAATATGGAAAAATGGTGGGGAGTCATCCAAATTTTCCTTCATCCACCATTTTTCCTTCACATGTCGGGCCTTTCGTTAAATATAGCAAAATCGGCAGTGATTGGGGTGAATTGCAGCAAATCAGAAGTTAACCAATGGGCAAACACCCTTGGTTGCAAAACAGAATCGTTTCCCTTTACTTATTTGGGTTTTCCTCTTGGAGGTAATCATAGGCATTACAGCTTCTGGGAATCAGTGGTGGAAAAAATGCACAAAAGATTGGAAAATGGAACTCTATGATCTTGTCAAAAGGGGGACGCCTTACTCTTACACAAGCAGTCCTGAATAGTATCCCCACATATTTTTTTTCGATTCTGATAGCACCAATATCTGTGATTGAAGCTATGGAAAAACTTATGTGGGACTTTATTTGGAATGGAGGTCATTATAGACCGATTGGGAATCTTGTAAAATGGTCTTGGACAGCGTTACCTTCACAAAGGGGAGGTTTGGGAGTCGGTTCTTTAGCTCACAAGAACAAAGCCCTTTTAATGAAATGGTTATGGCGGTTTGCAAACGAAAAAAATAGTTTTTGGAGAAAGGTTATCGCTGCTATTTACGGGGAAGAGCCTCTTGGATGGTGGTCCAAGTCTTCAAATAACTCTTCAATAGGCCGTCCTTGGATTGATGTACAAAAAGTTTCCCCAGATTTTGGCAGATTCATCTCTTTCAAAGTGAATTCGGGGGCGGCGGTAAGATTTTGGGAAGACACTTGGATTGACTCTTGTCCATTGTCTGTCTTTTTCCCTGACTTATATGCTATTTCAAATAAGAAAGAGTTCACTATAGCAAACTGCTGGAATACAGAATCCTTGACTTGGGATTTAGGGTTGAGAAGGAATCTGTTTGAAAGAGAGCTTGACAGATGGGCGGTTTTCATTGGAAAACTTGAAGGCATGGAGGTAGGCCATAGAAATGATTCTTTATGCTGGACTGCAGACAGAAAAGGGGATTTCACGGTGAAGTCGGCTTTTGAGGTCCTTACCACCCCCTCCCCGAAACTAAAGGCAGCCACAACTTCTTTTATCTGGAATTTCAAGATCCCTAAAAAAGTGAAGGTGTTCCTTTGGACTCTTTATTACAGAGGAACGAACACAGCAGAAAAAGTCCAAAGGAAACTTCCTCATTGGAATCTCTCTCCTTCAGTTTGCAGCATGTGCTTTAGAAGTGTGGAAACAGTGGACCATCTTTTTATACACGGTACTTTTGCAACAGCGGCTTGGAATTTTTTGGCTTCTCACCTAAATTTGGCTCTCTGCTTCCCTAAGAAGATAGATGACTTCATTGAGGAAGGTTTTGGTGGTTTGTTGCTCAAAGGAAAATCTTACATTCTATGGAATTGTGGTGCTAGAGCTCTCTTTTGGCTTCTTTGGAAGGAATGAAATTACAGACTGTTTGAAGAGAAATAGGTTTCTCTAGAGGTTTTTTGTGAGAATATTAAACACACTGCTTCTTGGTGGGCTTCGATCCATAAGAAGGTTTTTTGTAACTACGGTTTTCTTCTAACTCTACAGAGTTGGAATACTTTGTTTGTATAGGTTCTTTAGAGGGGGTCTCCTCGACCCTCTGCCTCTAGGTTGTTTGCCTTTTTTTTGGGCTCCACGGTTTGATGAATGAGCTCTCTTTGTTTATTATCAAAAAAAAAAAAAAATTCTTGCTAAGTCACAAGTATTATTCTTAATAGGATACGATCCCAATTCTCAATATTTGGCCTAGATTTGAGTTTGGGGTATATTAATGTGAAAAGAGCGGAAAAATCTCCTTCTATACATCTTTTTTCTTGTACTAGAACCCTCCCATGGCCTAGAACTAGCTTAGAGATGAGGTTCATATTCCTATAAGCATAAACATCCTTTTAAATTTTTAATGCAATTGATGTCCTCCACAAAGTAAAAGTTCTCCAATTTGTTTGTCAATGCCATTCTATCATTCATAAAAACAATATTCATAAGAGCTCCCCTCGAGGAGTAGCCTAGTTGACAGAGGCTTGGTGTCTCTTGGTCATACTGGCTTAGAGGTCTCAAGTTCGAAGCTTCTGGTGAGCTTAAATTCTTGATGTCTCCCGAGTCTGGGCCTTGGGGCGGGCGCGGGTGTCTAGGGGAGCAAAACTCTGACTCCAGTCATAAAAAAAGGAAAAAAAAAGAAAAAACAATATTCATATGAGCAATAGCTCCCAAGTGATTTATGGTACTTGGACCCATCCCTCGCTACAATCTTAAACACCTATCATATTGGCTACCTTCACTTCCTCCCACTTGCTCTACTCAATAAGCTACTCATACTAACAAATGCCTTGTCTAATTATTAATGTGTTAATGTGTCCCCAAGTACTCATACTAACAAATGCCTTATCTAATTATCGAGGAGGTGCGGTTGTCCCTTTCGTTTCGTGACTGGGGTCGTTTTTTGTGGCAGACTTGTTTTTTGGCTACTTTATGAGGTATTTGGCTGGATAGGAATAAGGGACTGTTTAGGGGGTGGAGAAGTCTGTAGACTATGTTTAGGATCTTATTAGATTTAATACTTCTTTGTGGGCTTGGTCTCTAAGGCTTTTTGTAATTATCAACTAGGTGTTATTCTTTTGGATTGGAGCCCTTTTCTTTAGGGCTGTTTTTTTGTAGGCCCTTCTCGTACTTCTTGTTTCTTGTTTCATTATTTTTTTCATTGAAAGCGTAGTTTCTTATTAAAAATTTTAACAAATTCTAACAACTACCCTAATGGCATTTCTCACCGGTAATCCTTCAAGAATCTCTCATTGTTCCACCCTTTTGTCCCCAAATGCCTCAAACATGATTTCATGGAACATAGCCTTTTTATGAATTTAAATGCCTTCAATCAGCCTTCAGTGCCTGTGGGCCACCAAAGATGGAGTGGAATCTAAAGATCTCGAGTATATGATCATAAATCTAGAAGGATAAGAGGCAAGGTTATTGCTAGTGATTAGAGGTGGGTTATGGTAGCAACAATTAAAAATATTGTTTTTGGCCTTGAAGTCACAAACCCACGAAAATAAAAAAAATCTGAAAAGAAGTCTCCCACCATTCTGACACTGACAGTGAAAAATATATGATGAAGATCCTCCACAGCCTTGAAATGTAAAGAACAGTAGCTCGAAGTTGATGCAATTAAAGTATTTTTACTTTTGTCTTAATTCACTGATACTGGCTAGCTCTATCTACCATTTTTCTGAGTTTTTTTTGAAACAAACAAAAACAGACCATTTGTCTGAGTTTTTCTTAAATTTTTCCTCATAATTTCAAATATTGATTCTTATGCTATTTACCTGTAAGGTATATTTTCAGTTATCTTTTATATGGATTTTGGAATGTAATTTTTGTTTTTCATTTCAGGTTGATTGCAGCTCTATCTAGAGATCTGTTGGAGGATTTTTTGCCGTTAGTTTCTTCCCCCTTAAATTGAATTTTATTGTTTCTACATTTATGCTTTATCATTTGTCTTTTTCTTCGGGGTTCCATAAGTTCGAATGGTATTTTTCTTTGTGTAAGAAACAATTTCATTGATGTATGAAATTACAAATCCCATGAAAGAGTATACAAAAGCCCATAGATGGGTTACATAAGGTACTTCCAATTATACAACAGGAAGTGTAGCTATAGTAATAAAAAGTAGGAGAGGTTTTACACCAAGAGATAGCTTTATACACTATAGCATCAAAAAAACGATTGTGTCTTGTCAATGAAGGTTCTTTGATTTCGTACACCCCAAGTAGTCCAAAGAAATGCTCGAATGAAATTTGTCCATAGCTGTTCCTTTTCATTCTTGAAGGGGTGTTCGTTTAGGGTGGCCTCAAGGAGAAGTTGGGGGTCATTAGGCAAAGCTGTGGACCAACCAAAAGTACTGAGAATATCCTTCCAAAAATCAGAAGCAAAGGTGCAGGCGGTAAAGAGATGTTGTTGGGATTCCAAGCTGTTCTTGCAAATGATGCACCACTGTGGAGAAATAGCCATGTAGGGGAGTCTTCTTTGTAACTTATCATTGGTATTAATGGCACGGTGACTAAGCTCCCAAAGAAAGAAGTTCACGTTTTTGGGCACTTGTCCTTCCAGATAGTGTTGTAGAGGCTGTTATGGGGCACTTTGTTGCTGTGTGTGAGGTCCTTTGTGAGGGAGCTGGTGGAAAAAGAATAGATAATAGAGGCAGAGTTCGAATGGTAATAGGGAGCTGGTGTGAGGGAGTTCGAATGGTATTTTTTTATGTCATTATTTTATTTTTCTTTTATGTTCTTCCTGTGCCAATTTCTTTCTCGTTTTTTTTAAAGATATTATAGAATATTTAACTGGATTGTTAATTCACAACCATATTTATTACCATCTTCAACAGTATTTACAATATATGATATTAAGGGTTGTGAATTTTGTAACAATGCTACTTGTTATTTCTTCTACTTATTATTTTCTTTTTGCTACCAATCATTATGTAACAGATTCTTGCCTCGATTAACTGATGCATTAATGTCCCTCCTAGAAGGTGGTGCAGCTAGGGAGCCCGAAATTATTGAGCAGGTTATCTAATAATATATGTCATCAGTTTTTACATATCAAATTATCGATACCATAATTGAGTTCTAAGATAATTTGATACTTACTCTAAGGTGGGATTATATTTTTTGCAGATTTTTACATCTTGGTCGTATATAATGATGCACTTGCAAAAATACCTTACACGAAATCTTGTCCATTTGCTCAAGTAAGTCTACCTCTTTGGCTTCTTATTATCATGTTGCTATGAAGAAAAGAAATGTATCTGTATGCTGATGCATCAATACCAACCATATATTGAAACTAGACATATATAAGAAATACAAGTTTAAGTAAAAGAATTTTTGAAGTCAATCTCTTTTGTAAGCTTTGATATTAGTTTCAATTAGATAAATATTACAAAAAAGGCCTAATATGTTTGGCCATTGGTCTATAAGGTTTTGAAAGCCTTTCAACTAGAAGAGAGCCCATTTCTCAGAAGGGGAGCCTTAATATGCTTCAATAGAGGCAAATTTTACACGAGGAGTATAGAATAGATAATAGAGGCAGAGTTGATAGAAAATCTTGAGCTTGGTAGTATCATTAGCGAAAGAAAGAGTAAGTATAAGGTGAAAAAACAGCCACTAATACTCTTATGTTTATTCGATTTAGTCATTTTACTCCAATGCTCTTTGAGGATTAACTGAGAGCAAAACTCTTTGATATATTCATGTTATTCTCCATCTCCTGATTATTTGTTGTAACCAGTTCAATGTATGTGGGCGCTCATGCATGTTTATTTGCTATTTTAAGGATTACTGTGTCATTAAGACATTACTGCAAAGATTACATTCAAGATTTCATGGCCGAGGCGACATCATTCTTGCTAAGGAATGCACCAGTTGATCAACTAAAAAATGGTAGGACTTTCTAATATCAATACTTTTTAGATGTTCGTATTTTATGGGACTTTCTATTTATTTAGTATTTTATTGGCTAAATCATACGGTCTCTGTGCCTCCCAGAGGTTGCGGTTTGAATCTTCGGGGTGAGCTTATTAAGGAAAACCCTTGACGTCTTCAAAGTTTGGGCCTTGGGGTGGGCGCAGACTTGATAAATTTAAAAGAATCTCAACTTCATTTGTTTTGTATTTATTTAACGACATAATTATGGAATCTAATATTATGGTATGATTTCTTATAATGTTGTCATCTTCCTCAATGTTTGGTACATCTCTTGACTTTAGAGGGTGTAAATTTATAGGCAATTATTGGAACTTGGAAGAGCCCCAACATCTATTGTCTCTTTTGATTGTAACTTCCTTATCAAAATCGTTTACCTTCACCCAATTGATGCAGGACTTAAACAGATAATATTGGAAGTTGTTAAGAAACCTTTAGCTACAAGAAAATATGGTGCTAGTGCTCTGCTATTTTACACTATGAGAGGGACCTTATCTAGGTTTCATTCAAGAGCAGAGCTGGTGTTTCGCTTCCTGATCAGTGGTCCAACGTTTGACATTGGCCTCGAGTCCAGCCAAGGTGAATTTATTTCTATGAAATATTCTTGTTCCATAAATTGCTAATTTTTTGTGAATTATTTAATCTATCTATGTATGTTTTATTTAAACGTCGTTGCGTGGGGTGGCACTCTGACAGCCTCCTTTAAAGTACTGGCTTAATGGCATCCAAATATCTCCTATTGAAATGTCATTTAATCTATGTCTGGATGTCTTCATTTTTTGTTCCTTGTAAACAAAGAAAAATATTATCTCTATATTTTATATTTTAAATGAGGATCATTTCATCGAAGAGAAAAAAATCAACTCCCATCCCTGTTCCATTTTTAAATACTGTTGGGTAATTTAATGTGTCAATGATAATCTGTACTTTGATTACTGAGCCTATCTTTCTCTCTCCCCTGCACTTACTGTATTCTCTTTTCCTCTTGTTGTTTCTGTCTGTATCGCTATGCTAGGTTCAGACGCCATTTTAGAAGTGATCAAGTGTGTGTGTGAGAGATTATGTGAAGAAATGGATCCCAAGGAATTGGATATGATATGGAAATGCTTGTTTGAGGAAATAACAGATGCCGTTTCTAATGATTACGTGCTTCATTTAACTCACCTGTTAATGCTGCTTGCTTCAGCAGTTCAGAATGTTAATTGGAAAAAAAATTCTGGTTAGACATTCCACAAGTACTCCTCTATTCCTATTTTCAAGTGTTGGCTATGTTCATAAAATTCTATTATACTACTAAAGCTGCTGAGTTGTTATGTTTGACAGACTACAAACCGATGCTTGATCTTGTAGACAGACTTCTGATGAAGTTTATCACAACTCCAAGCCTAACAATGGAGGATGATTTATCCAAAATCATTGATACGATTTTGAAATTAATGCTGGTTATTCTGGATGGTCTCCAAAGTTCTGAGGACTCTTTATCCATTTCTGATTGTTCGTTGCATTGGACTCCTATATTTCAATTGAAGAACAGTAGGTATGGGCAACATGGCCTTCATAAGATGTGACACTTGGTGTATGTTGCCATTTATATTTTATAATTTTTAACAACATATTTGATGTCTTTGTTTTTAGTATATTGACTTTTATACGAGAAGTATTGCAGAAGGACACTGGTGTACTATGTGCATTCAGAACTAACATTTTAAGGTATATTTCATTTTTTGTTGATTTTCTACTGCATATTTTGCTGAGGAATCTAATAGGTCTGCTATTGCATTTCCAGAACAATGAATGAGTTGATAGAATCTTCACCTGAAGAAGTTATTTATCTTTTGCTTTCCCTCTGCGAGAGATTACCAACAGACGTGTTATGTGCATCCGAAGTAGAAGTTGCAAGGATTTATAATCTTTTCCTAAAGATACTCGGTCACTGGATAAAAGAGATCTCCGATTTCATGCAAGGCAGTTCGTCATCCACTGATATTAATGAATCTGAGTTGGCTATTTTTTGGGGTGTTATTCATTGTTATCCATATATTAAAAAATTTCAAGCCAATCCATCCTTACTAGTGGACTTGATTGATGAACTTGATCGTCTTTTTACAGTTGAAGGTAAAGTTTAAGCATCTAATCTCGAATTGGATTATTTCATCTTATTTCCTTTATGACATTGATATAGTTTTGATGGGTGTATAAAGTTACCATAATATGTACCTATTTTTCTTATAAAACAATGGGAGATTTGTTTCGTCTGGGGGTTTGCCATCTTAAGCCTGAGTTTGGTTAATATGGGGTTTAAGTGTGGAGGGTTTAGGATACGTAGTTCTGGATAATCGTGTTTGGGGTGCATGTGGGGGGGCTTGAATAGTGGGCTATTTAAGTATGTTGGTTTCTCCAATAGTGTGCTATTGTTCTAGCTTGTTGGTTTCTTCAATTAAACTTGAGTATGGCAACTCCTCCCTCCAATTCTAGGTTGGGTTCGACATGAGCCCAACCGACACCCGAAACACTGCCTATTGGGTTTGATTTTTAGTTTATATTTTTTGCACACGATTGGGGACATGTTCCCTTGAGCCTCCCTGGTGGAGTCTCAATTTGGGATCAAGAGAGATCATACATAAAATAGATATATAAAATATGGGTATACCTATGTTTATTACATCAGTTGAGGCTGCTTCTATTCTTGTTGTCATGTAAATGTGCTTGCTTTTTTTTTTTTCTCTTTTCTTTTCTTTTTCCTTCTTGTTTAGAGGTTCTTAACTACAGTTGGGGACATGATCTTTCAGGCAACATATTTGGTGTTCCAAAAAGAACGTGGGAAAGCTTAATTGGTGCAACTATAGGTTCTTACCTGAAGTTGCTCTCTAGTGAGAAGGATGGGCATGAAGAATCAAGCAGATTTGTATACCTTGCCAAAAGATATAGCTCATGTTCACAAGTGTTGTTAGCTGTAGCTGATTATTTGGATTTTGTTCATGGGTAGGTCGATCAATTTGTATTCTAGACCTTTTTTTTTTCCTTTCTATTTTCTTATCATCATTTCATCTCTAGTTTTGGTTGTTGAAAGCATGTAGCCTTTCTAACCAACTATGTCAACTGTAGGCCAGCACTGGAATTTGACATTAGCAGAAGAATTTATCCCGAAGAGCTTCAAGCAGATAAGCTTGAGGATGCTGTACTAGTGTTAGCAGATAATTTGCGTCACTCAGATAAGGGGATTCGTATATCTACTCTAAGAATATTGTGTCACCATGAGCCTTTGCGGTCTGCTATCATTACAAAGGACCCTTCAAGTGATAATGAGATGGAAATTGAAAACTCAGAATCACCTTCTGGTGATTTGCTGGGTAGTGAGGTAAGTTTTTCCATGTTCCATTATGTTCCTTGACTTTGTGCTTTACAGTTATGGATTCACTCTCTAAACATGTCAGGTTCTTCGGCTACTCCTCTCGATTGAGTCAACTCCTACCTCGATATCTACCAGCAGAAAGATTATATTATTAATTTCTAGAGTGCAAATGGCCCTGTTGGCTGAAAGAATACCTGGGGCTTACTTATCTGTTGTTATAAATGGGATTATTGGCATTTTTCATAATCGATTTAGCCATATTTGGGATCAAGCATCTGAATGTCTTGCCTCTTTAATCAGAAGACACTCGAGAATTGTGTGGGATAAATTAATCTGTTATTTTCAGCAGTGGATATTTCTACTTGATCAACCAGACGGAGAGATTGCTGAATCGTCTGATGAACAAAATGGTGTGCTTGCATGTCTTGTATGGATATTTTGTTAGCTTCATAATTCCATTTTTATAATGCATGGTTAAGTTCCTGTAGAATTTGTTTTTCATTTTATGGTTAGACGGAAAAAGCTGTTATGTAAAATTCTTTCTTGGCAATACTTTTTTGTCTGTGTAATAAAGTCTGGCCTATTCTTTCTTCTTTTATAGGTGGTTGGAATTATTTTTTGAAGTTTGATTTCACATTTTTTGTCTTTCAGATCTAGTCAGATGTTTCCAATCATTTGTTTCTCCTTCATCGAATAGTACACCGCTCTTTACTTTGCTAACCTTGGTGCTCCAATCGTTACAAAAAATTCCAACTATTGTTGAATCTCAGTCTCGACAGATTTTGCCTCTGTTCTTAACATTTCTGGGCTACAACTCCGATCATATGGAGAGGTTGTTTTTCAATGGATTTATACCTCATTTTTTTATTTTTACAGGTCTGATGTTTATACCACTCTTGTTGTTATCTTATGTACAATATTTTTTGCTTGTCCTGTGAAATTACAGTGTGGATTCATTTAAACAATATACGTGTAAAAGCAAGGAGTGGAAATGTGTGCTCAAGGAGTGGTTAAACTTGCTGATAAGAACCCGTAACCTGAAGTCTTTTTATAAGAATGACTTTCTTAAAGAAGTTTTGGAGAGAAGGTTGGTGTTAGATTTTATTAAGCGCTTATTCATGCTTCTATATATTCGTTCAATAGAGGAGACTGCCGGTTCTTTTCTCCAATGGTTCTGCATATTCACGCTTTGGTTGTATTTTACTAGGCTTTTGGATGATAACGATGCTGAAATTCAAAGCAAGGTCCTCGATTGCCTCTTAATCTGGAAAGATGATTTCTTGATCCCATATGATCAACATCTAAAAAGCTTGATCTCCCCCAAGACTTTAAGAGAAGAACTTACAAGGTGGAGCTTGTCCAGAGAAAAAAATCAAATTGATGAACGACACAGACCTTATCTTGTACCATTAGTTACTCGCTTATTGATGCCGAAAGTCAGGAAATTGAAGGTTCTTGGTTCTCGCAAGGTAACTTCTTTATTGGGCACAGTAGGATGGTTTATATTGAAGATTGCTCTGATAATCAGTATTTGTTATTCTTGAACTTTGTCATTATTTGTTAATGTTAGTGGAACATATTTGCCCGTATGGTTTATTTCAGGTTGACTGATTGATAACCTTTATGCCATACTGTTAGAATCCATATAAATGAATTAAATTTATCCAACCCATTAGCTTAAGTTTTTGGGTTGAGTGGTGATTTGTTCATTCTTAAGATGGTATCAGAGCGGGAGGTTCTATGTTCGAACCCCTGCATTGTCGTTTCCTCCCCAATTATTATGATTTCCACTTGTTAGGTCTTGATGTTGTTTTCCAAGGCCACAAGTGAGGGGGAGTGTTAGAATCCATATAAATGAATTAAATTTATCCAACCCATTAGCTTAAGCTTTTGGGTTGAGCGGTGGTTTGTTCATTCTTAAGACGTACCATATTGTATTATACTTGAACAGTGTCATTGTTTGTTGGTGAAGCATCACTTTAATGCATTGGTTTTTTTGGCTATTATTCAGTGTTTTTAGTTTAAAGTATTTGGCTATTCTTGAACATTATCAATGCTTTTAGTTAAGTGACTTGAGTGTTAGGCTATTATTCAGTATGCATGCAGTTGCCATGGAGGATAGCTTATTTTTTCATTTGATAGTATGGGTGGCTCAATCTTATATACCAAAATAATGAAGTCACAAGAAATACTGAGTTTGATGTTTCTTTTATGCCAGCAAGCCAGTGTGAATCTTCGAAAAGCCATCCTTCTGTTCTTTGCGCAACTTGATGCAAAAGAACTCCCACTTTTCTTTGCTCTGTTATTGAAGCCCTTGAATATTATCCCGAGGGAAGATGATGCAACTGCTAACTGGTTTTGTAACTCACATTCGGCTTCTATGATGTTCTCAGCAACTAACGTAATGAAGTACTTCTCAGAAGAAAGTATAGAAGCATTGTCATGGAAGAAGAAATTTGGTTTTCTGCATGTTATTGAAGAAGTTCTTGCAGTTTTTGGTGAAATTCTTGTTAGTCCATTTCTCAATATAATAATGGGTTGTGTTGTTCGAATATTGGGAAGTTGCGCATCGAGTCTTCATGCAGCAAGGAGAAATGAAAATGATAATATGTGTGACAAGGTTTCTCTTGAGGCTACAGCCTCTAGCCTGGTAATGTTTCCATTCAGATTAGGCGTTTCTTTGTTATCAACTTTTTAGATAACTTCTTGATACCCTGTTTCTTTCTCCCTTCACACGAGTGACTGTCTTTCATACAAGTATTTCTGTTCGTGTGTGTCATACTATCCCCCTTCTTTACCGGTTCTGGATTAAGGATAATATTCAAATCAAATGTACTTGGTAACAACTATCTGATGAATGTGTGATCATATTCTGGTCAAAATATTTTGTACTGCACCTACACGTCTTCATCGACGTTGTTTTTTAACCGGAAGACTCAGAGCCATGTAGAGATCTGTACTGTGGAAGTCTTTTCATTTACCTAGTAATCAAGGTTGTCAAGTTTCAGGGTCTACTTATTACTGTTTAGTTTGCGACACGGAAGCAAAATGCTTTTTTTTTTCCCTCCTTGTATGCTAATTATTTTCTTTCCTCCATGCAGTCTAGCACAGCCGTGAAGCAGTACAAAGATTTAAGGTCTTTATGTCTCAGAGTCATTTCTGTTGTTCTTTACAAATATGAGGATTATGATTTTGAAAGTGAATTCTGGGACCTATTTTTTATGTCTGTTAAATCTTCAATCGAAAGTTTCAAGCATGAGGGCTCAAGTAGTGAAAAGCCCAGTTCACTTTTCTCTTGCTTTCTCGCCATGAGTAGAAGCCACAGACTTGTTCCATTGTTGGCTAGGGAAGGGAATCTTGTTCCTGATATTTTCTCAATCCTCACCATCTCAACAGCAACTCAATCGATTATATCATTTGTTCTAAAGTTTATTGAAAACCTGTTGACTTATGATGCTGAGTCAGATGGGCATGAAGGCGCTGTGAGAAGCGTTCTACTTCCAAATCTTGATTCACTTATCCAAAACTTGCATGTTCTTTTCCAAAGTGGAGATGCGAAAAAGAGGTATATTTTTATCTATGTGATTTGCATTATTGTTTTCTCATTTAACGTTTTATCATTTTAATATTTTTTGTGATTAAATTCATTTTTGGATTATAAGATGGTGCGTTGGCTATGTCAAAATGGTAACTGGGAAGTGGAGTGAAATAATTAGGTTTGATTGGTCATGGTAGATGTATAAGATTAAATTGCATCTTCTTCTATATTTTCCAACTGGTTTGTCTACGGCCTATGACTTTCTTTTTTTTTAATAAGAAACTGCACTTTTCATTAAAACAAATGGAAAAAGAGAACGAAAACACGGGCATACAAAAAACAAAAGCCCAACGGGAGGAGCCCTATCTAAATAAGGGCTTCCAATCCAAAAGAATATAACCTAACTGGTAATTACAAAACAACTTCAAAACATATCCCCAAAAAGAAACATTACGGATAAAAGTATAAAGGACATATAAAAGTTGGTGAAGGTATTGCCAATAATTTTATCCTCCGACTTTTTTTCTAGCTGACAAGTTCACATTGGTTAGGAAAGACGGATATATCAGTGAAATTTGTTATCTCAATACCCAAGTAGAAACACTAGACTTGTCGTGGTCATTGTTTTAACAAGCCCTAGAAAGCCTTTGCTTAGTCTTGGTTAGGTATCTTGCCTTGTTGAAAGTGTACTTCACAAAGTGTGGCCTCTTTAAGAAAACTAAACTATGTTGAATTAAGTAAAGAAAGGAACTTAAGCAAAAAGCTTTTGGTCCTATTTTGTCCGACCTTCTCACCAAAGTGTACTTCTCTCTATCTCCAATAGTGTTTAGGAATATGGAAATAAGACCAACTTAAAGGAAAATATGATGAGCTATAAGTCCAAAATGATGGGAAAAATAGAGATGATGACCTATTTAGGGCTGCCGTATTTTAACTTTACAGGTTATTTTCTCCATCTCATATTTGCGTTCTGTCTTTTAATAATTTATGTATACCTATGAATTGCTTATATATTGTCTGCTTTATCTCATCCAAACTCTCAATTTCTTTTGGCTATGCATTTAATCTCTAAGCGCTACCCACACCCAAGTTCCATAGCTTTGGGTCCGCTATCCCGATCGTGATTTTCCTACCCCAGAGGGAAAAGTCCTTCCCTTTTTGGCCGGTTGTGGGCGAGGAGGGATTCGAACCCCCGACACTGTGGTTCGTAGCCACATGCTCTAATCCTCTGAGCTACAGGCTCCACCCCGTCTCCACTGGATCTGTTCCTGGGGGTACCCTACGAAAAGGAACCTCTCCTCTCCCCTGCCATTTGCCGTTTCGGGTTAAGAAGATGTGAAAGCACCCTAAACCCTAAACCCTTAGGATGCTTTACACTTTTAAAATTCTGGTCATGATGTATTTTTGTATGAGTTGTAGCTATTCTTTATGTTTCAGGTACTCGTTATATTTTTCTATCACACGACAGTAAATTTTACGTGACAAGGGAAATGAAATTTTATACCATAACAGACTTTTAATTATTTCCTGTGTCATCGTGTCAGGAAGCTGGTAGAACACCACAATGGACCAATGATAAGAATTTTCAAATTAGTCTCGAAGCTTATAAGGGATCAATTGCATGCTAAGAAGTTCATAGAAATCATACTGCCATACTTAACTCAGACTAGTCTTAGTTCTGGTGAGAACATTCCCCCTTTTTGTTTTGTGTGGGAAAGCACTACAAGAACTGACTCCTCAAATTAAAATTAGAATTTTGTTCATGACTTTTAGCCCGTACTTGTGTTGCAGAATCTCATGCTGATACTCTGCAAGTGATTCAAAATGTGGTCCCCATTCTAGGGAGTGAGAGTACGACAAAAATCTTGAAAGCAGTTTCTCCATTACTGATTTCTGTTGAACAGGATTTACGTTTGCTTATATGCGATCTTATAAAAGCTCTTGCAGAAGTTGATTCTTCAATCATCTGCGTGGTAAAGTTTATTTTTTCTTTTTTGCATTCAAGTTTTTTCTATCCATAATACTATTTTGATTTGTGACTGAAAGGAATGATAATGTTGTAATTTTTCTATCTACTTTTGTAATCTGTAGGCTCAAATCATTCATGGTTTGAATGCAACCTCTGCTATGGAAATTGGTGGCCTGGATTTTGACACGATTGTTAATAGTTATGAAAAAATTAATGTGGATTTCTTCTGTGCTWCTCCAGAGGAACATGCATTAATTGTTCTATCACAGTGCGTGCATGATATGTCATCTGAAGAACTAATCCTAAGGCATAGTGCTTATAGATCTTTGCTCTCCTTTGTTGAATTTTCTTCTTCAATTCTTTGTCAAGGAGGGATAGGTCACCATGAATCGGTTGATAATATGACATTATCAGAAAATAGTTGTTGGTCAAAAGTTAGCATCATGCGCATAACAAAAAAATTTATCTTGAAGCATATGGGAGGAGCAATGAACAGAGAGACCTCTGTTAAAAAGGTACAAAGTTGATTTTTTTTTTTTGGGTACTTATTGCCCTTGAGTAATCTGTTGCATAAAAAAATTGTATTTAAATTAATCTGTGATAAATACTCAGCTGATACATTGTGGAACAAAATCTTTATTAAGCTTTGGTTTATGTTCTACTCTATAAAATAAAACGAAAATCATTTATTGTGGATGTGACGAAAAAAGTTTCCAAGTATAGGTTTGAAGTTCCCTTATTAGATCATTAGATTCATTACCATGTATCTGAGGATTTTGAATGGTTCTTTGAGTTTATAATCTATTGGTGCTGAACAATAGAAATTCTAATTTACAAGGTAAAGAAAATGGAAGAAAAAGAATGGATCGCAAACAAATCCATCCTCTTTTCTTCCATATAGTATTTTATTCCTCTCTATGTTAAGCATGTATATATGGTAAGAGAATCTCTACTTCAGAATCTTTAAAATTTTCATCTTTCAGTTTGTTGATTAAATTTATATTATGCAGATGTCTTTGGAGTACAATTCTGCAATTATTGTATACATTTTTCGTCTCTGATTTTTTATGAACTGGTTACAGGAATGGATAAATCTATTGCGAGAAATGGTGTTGAAATTTCCTGATGTAGCAAATTTAAGTTCACTGAAGGCTTTATACAGCAAAGATGCTGAAGTTGATTTTTTCAGTAACATTACCCACTTACAGGTGAATTTCTGGTTCATATGATGGTAAAATATCACATTATAGGGATAAAAATGCCACCACTGCACTTGGGAGTAGCGTTTCTTTGCTTTTTTATAATCCTGCCACGCTAAAATTAGTCACCAATTAACATTTATATATACATGTACATGTTTAGATGGATGAAGCATTTTTTAAGGGGCTAAACAAAAAAGTAAATAGTCTAATTTTTTCTTCAGCCATTTCTCGTTTTATCCATGGTTCAATCAATGAAGGTACATGAACTTGAGGAAAACAAGGAAATGAAAGGGGGGATTAAAGCTGCTGATATCCCCTGCTATAATTTTCAAAGTTCATATTTCTTTTCAATTATGTATAAGCATTCGACTAGATAATAAGGAGATATTTTATATAGACATTTGAATCTTCACAAAAGTAATTCCATATAGCAACTCAAAAGACCATGGATTCAGTAATCTCATCGTCATTGTTTGAATTTATAAATTTGATTTCCTATAAAAAGAATTGATTTCAACTTCTTGTTGAGTTACTATTTCCATTTCACATTGATTTTTCTGATAGTTCAAAAAAAATTATTTGTATGCTGCAGAAACTTAGAAGAGCAAAGGCACTGATTCGCTTCAAAAATACTATTTCGGCTCTCAACATGCCTGAGGTATTTGCTCTATTTTTAATATTGATTTTAATATTTAATGATTGATTTGGAAGTCTGCTTAAGTTATCCTCGCTTGAATTGCTTGAAGGTTATCATGAAGAATGTGTTTGTGCCGCTTTTTTTCAATATGCTGTTTGATTTACCAGAGGGAAAAGCAGAGAATATCAGAGTTGCTTGTATAGAGGCGCTTGCTTCAATTTCTGGCAGAATGGAATGGAAGTCATATTTTTCTCTATTAAGGAGATGCTTTCGAGACCTTACTAAACACCCAGATAAGAAAAAGGTTTTGTTGCGCTTGATATGTTCTATTTTGGACAACTTCCATTTTCACAAGAATATTTCAGAAGTTGGGTCAACACACCTATGTGACAGCATGGCTGTGACCAGCGACATGCAAGAATGCCTTGGTAAAGACGTGTTTCCAAAGATACAAAAACTTATGAACTCTCAGTCAGAAAAAGTAGATATTTATGTTCATCTTGCTGCTCTAAAGGTGTTAAAATTACTTCCAGAAGATATTATGGATTCACAACTTTTGAGCGTCATCCAGCATATTGTGAACTTTTTGAAGAATCGTTTAGAAAGTGTTCGTGATGAAGCTAGATCTGCTCTGGCTGCTAGTTTGAAGGAGCTTGGATCTGAATACTTGCAGGTTATTGTTAGGGTTTTGAGAGGATCACTAAAACGTGGATATGAGCTGCATGTGTTAGGGTATACACTCAATTTTATATTGTCAAAATTTCTTACTGATCCAGCTTTTGGGAAGATAGATTATCTTTTGGAAGATCTCATTTCTGTTGTTGAGAAAGACATCTTTGGAGAAGTTGCGGAGGAAAAAGAGGTTGAAAAGTTGGCCTCGAAAATGAAAGAGACAAGGAAACAGAAGTCCTTCGATACATTGAAATTGATAGCTCAAAGCGCAACATTTAAAAGCCAAGCACTTAAGCTTCTTAGACCTGTTACAGATCATATGAAAAAGCATCTCACACCAAAAGTTAAAGCCAAATTGGAAAATATGCTAACCAGCATAGCTACTGGTTTCGAATGCAACCCATCTGTCAATGAAACTGATCTTTTAATCTTCATATATGGACTCGTTGAAGATGGCATCAAAGGTGAAAATGGACAGGGTGAAGGCTCATCGTTGGTAGATGCAAACAAACATTCTAAAGATGTTTCCAGAGGAAGGAATTTATCATGTCAAACAATAGTTGCAAAGTCCCCCTGTTCACACCTTATTATGGTGTTCGCACTTAAGCTACTGCAGGGGTACATGAAGAAGATGCAACTTGGGAAAGGAAATGATCAGTTGTTATCAATGCTTGACCCTTTTGTTGCCCTGTTCGGAAACTGCTTGACTTCTAAATATGAGGATGTTTTATCATTAACTCTTAGATGTCTCACTCCATTGCTGAGATTGCCTTTGCCATCTGTCAAATCCCAAGCTGACAAAATTAAGGGAGTAGTGTTACATATTGCCCATAGTTCAATGGATCCCTGCAATCCATTAGTAGAATCATGTTTGAGGTTATTAACTGTGCTTCTGCGGAATGAAAAAGTTACACTTTCCACAGATCAGCTACATTTATTAATTCAATTTCCACTGTTTGTCGATATTGACAAGAATCCATCTTTTATTGCCCTCTCACTTCTAAAGGCAATTGTTAGTCGCAAGCTTGTTGTTCCTGAGATATATGATCTTGCTATTCGAGTAGCTGAATTGATGGTGACGAGTCAAGTTGAACCAATTCGGAAGAAATGCAGCAAAATTTTACTACAATTTCTGCTTGATTATCGTCTTTCAGAAAAGCGTTTGCAGCAACATTTTGATTTTTTGCTCTCAAATTTAAGGTGACCTATGATATTAAGCTGATTTCTTTATATAGTAATTTTGTTTTTTATTCTGTCTTAAGATGATTTTCCTATTATTGAAGGTATGAACATTCAACAGGAAGAGAAGCTGTCCTGGAGATGCTTTACACAATTGTGGTTAAATTTCCAAAAAGTGTTGTGGATAGTATTTCTCAGACATTGTTTGTTCATTTGGTGGCATGCTTGGCTAATGATCAGGATAACAATGTTCGGTCTATGACTGGTGCTGTAATTAAGCGGCTAATAGGCTGCATAAGTTCAGGTCCTCTCCATTCTATACTTGATTACAGTTTATCTTGGTACGTGGGAGGAAAGCAACAACTATTGAGTGCTGCAGCACAGGTGAACGTCATAAATATCTGTTATTTTTTTAAAACAATCTTAAACTTCTATATTTTGGTTTGGTTCATTTTTCAATCAACTTATTTATAAGTAAATATAAGGATATGGTTTTAGCTTTGGTGGGTGACGTGCTTACGAAGATGCTACATTTACATGTCTACTCTTTTAAAGTAAACAGTCCCTGTTCTTCAACGGTGAAAAAAGTTTAATCCCTGATTGAGGTCAAATCTTGAGCTTAGGACTTCTTTCGAAGTAGATAACCATTCACAATAAGTTTGGATATTCTAGTGCTTTTGCTTCCAAGATATTTATGTGAGCTTATGTTGATTGTTTTAATTGCTTCTGCACTTATTATTGAAGCAAATTAATTTGTATTTAGAGGATACTGACACATTAAAATTAATAAAAAATTCTGAATCAGCATTCTGATATGCAGTGACTAATGTTGAACATTTAACACCACTACATTGTTAAATTTTAAGGAATATAAAAAAGTAAATAATGAAAAAGAAGATTACTAACTCACATTGTTAAATTTTAAGGAATATACAAAAGTAAATAATGAAAAAATAAGATTACTAACTCACGCTTGTTGCAAAGAAAACAATAACACAATGAGGGGAAAAAATGCTCTGCTTTTCTATTAAAAATGACAAGTAATTAGACTTTTTGTTTGTAATTGCTTCATGTTTTGTGCCAATTGTTTGTGTTTTTTCCCTTTTTATGGTAACCTATTAGTGCAGTGGTGTGTGCTTTGCAAAGGTGCTTTGGAAGATTTTCACCACATTCTTTGGTCTTGTCAGTTTGCTTGGGAAATTTGGGACCCCTTTTTTGTGTTGCTTTGGGGTGTCTTCAATTTGCAACAGGAATTGTCGGGTGATGGTGGAGTAGGTGTTATTGTCCCCCTTTCGGGGTAGGGGAAGGTTTATGTGGCAAGCCTGTTTTTTTACTATCTTGTGGCAAGCTTATTAGATATGGAGATCGGTCTTTTGTAATTATCAGTTAAGCTTTCATCTTTTGGATTGGAGCCCCTTCCTCCAAGAGTATCTTTTGGTTGAGCTGTTTTTTTAATGCCCTTCTATAGTTTTTTCATTCCTCTCATGGCTTCTCATGGAAGAAAAGGATTTTAGGCTTTGAGTTTCAATCGACCAATTAGATTTTTCCATTAACCATCTCTTTCATTTTGAGGGAAAAAAACAAGTGGAAGATAACGATATTATATTTGTTTTAAAAGATATGATTTGTTTATGATCTGTTATTGCTTTGGTGATTAGTCACTCATTTAAATAGAGTTAAATACAGTGGAAGAAAGTAATGGAGATTATTTTTTGTACACAGGTGTTGGGATTATTAGTTGAAGCTTTAAAGATAGGTTTTGAAAGACATATAAAAACTGTGTTGCCAGTTGCCAGAGGCATTTTGCAATCTGTTGTTGATGTTACCAATAATGAGAAGCTAGACATTTCTGCAGAAACTACCATTACCTTTTGGAAAGAGGCTTATTATTCGTTAGTGATGCTAGATAAGATGATGCACCAATTCCCTGAGTTATTCTTTGAGAGGGGTTTTGAGGTATGCTGCTGCCAGTTACTTTTTTTAACTATCGTTTTATTTTATTAAGTTTTTATTGCATTGAGGAGTTATTTCATTTTTATTCTACCGACTCTGAGCTATTACTGAACACTGAACAGAAGATGTTTTCCACTTTTATCGGGGTACATAGGGAAGTCCAGTTAGTTTTTTAGGGAGCTTATCAAATTTTATGGTTGGTCCACCACATCCTTTTGGTTTCAGTACTACAGAACCTAATGAACACTAATACAGGAGAGCCCTGATTTGTAAGGAAAAAGTGCCTTGGACCACCTATTGATGTTTTTATGAGCATTCATAGTCACAGTGAGGAGCTTCATTTTTTAGAGTAAATACTTCTCTTTCGGGTTTGACAAGTGCGAGATGGTGGTAGGTAGTGTAGTTGGTTGCTGATTAGAGAGAAGAGTCTGTGCACAACCTAACACAAACTAAACATGCATCATCAACCGGCCGCTTCATAATTCTTTTCAATTCAAGCCATCTTGTAAAGAGTCCACATGAGAGCATTATTTACCTGAACACTTCAATGGAAATAATATTCGCACTGCTTTTACTGACAACTATGATGTACCGCACCTTGCATTATCAAATTTACACTTTGTTTTGAAAATGATGATGTGTCCTTAGGGGAGGTTCAGGCAGTGCCATTTGTACAATACATTGTTTTGTATGTCCTGAAAATAAGATATAAATACCTTGCATTATCAAATTTATACTTTGAGCTGAAAATATGACATTAAATACCTTGCATTGTTTTTATGTCCCGTGGACAAATGATAAAATCAGTACATATTGTTTTTATGTATATTATAAGTAAACCATACCATTTTAAGTTAATACTTCTTTGGCCAAACCGAACATAACTCAAATGGTTAAGACACCTATTTCTGACCAAGAGTTCATGAGTTCAAACCCCCACCCCACATGTTGTATAAAAAAAAAAGTTAATACTTCTTTGGTTGTGTTGTCTATGCAAATGCATCCATTACATGGTATTTAAGTCTTTGGATTACTGATATTGTGTTGTTGTACATTAATCCTTTGCATTACTCTCAGGATATCTGGGAAATGATTTGTCACCTGCTTTTGCACCCACATATGTGGATCCGTAGTATCTCAAATCGCCTGATAGCCTCATATTTCACTACTGTGATTGAGAATAGCAGAAGAACTTCAGAAGGATCGCTTGGAGCTTATTCTCTTATGAAACCAAGTAGACTCTTCTTAATTGCTACTTCGCTTTGCTGCCAGTTGAAGTCGGAGCTTACAGATAAAGATGCTGATTTGATTGTCCAAACTCTTGTTTTTGCTATCTGTGGTTTGCATTCTGTAATTGGAAAGTTGGAGAATGCTAATTCCTGTTCGTTCTGGTCTACGCTCGAACAACCTGAACAAAAGCTTTTTCTCAAAGCATTCCAGTTGCTGGATTCAGGAAAAGGAAAAAGCATGCTTTTACCTCGTATGACTGGTGTATTTGACCAGAATGATGCCTCTCCTGAGCAGATCCATCACCTTCTTGTCTCAAATTTGCTCAAGCAGATGGGAAAGGTTGCTCTTCAAACAGATACTATCCAGGTTCTCTCCAAGTGTTTCCACACTAATTAAACAATTTAATTCTACCATCCTTCCTCTATTTTTTTTAATTAATCATCCATTTTACTTCATGCAGATGAAAGTAGCTTTCAATGTTTTCTGCAATATATCATCGCAAATTGGTGTAGAAGATTGCGAACGTTATGCTTTTGAAATTTTGTTGCCTTTATATAGAGTCCGTGAAGGATTTTCTGGAAAATTGATCCCAGGTAAACTCTATTTCCAATACAAATCTTCTTGCAGATTATTAGATTCTTGATTGCATCCCAGCGTAAAATATCTGAGGAGGTTTATGTATTTGCATCTGTGAACTATTCTACTTGTAAATTTTTTTATTTTATAAGAAACTTTAAGCTTCATTCAAAAGAGACATCACAATAAAGAAAATCCAGCCCCCATATTCTTGCTCGAGCTTAATTTTCACAATACTGTTCTTTCATCTTTCATTAGTTATTAGTCTTTTTCTTGTTGGATGAAGTTGGGCTGAAACAACATTATGACTTTCGGAAGTAGTAAACACGTTTATGGAGGTGGAGCATTTCTTACGTACTTTCCAAGTTAGAAATTTCAAGGCGACAAATTAGAGATAATCTTAAAATCGTAATTATTAATCTAAGATGAACTAAGTGGGATGGTTTATTTATCTCACCTAATATTACCTAATGTTAGACTTGTTTATGTGTTTGATCCATTAAGAGCGGTTCATTAATCACCAATGGTTTTCCCCCCCTTGTTTTGTAGATTCAATGGTACAATTGGCACAAGAAGTTTGTGATAAAATACAGAACTGTTTGGGAATTCAGAAATTTGTACAGGTGTATAGCCAGATCAAGAAGAATCTCAAGGCCAAAAGGGATAAGAGGAAGCTAGAAGAGAAGCGCATGGCCGTCATAAATCCCATGCGAAATGCGAAAAGGAAAATACGGATTGCTGAAAAACAACGTGCCAGCAAGAGAAGGAAGATAGCGACTATGAGAATGTCGAGACGGATGTTGTAGACTAGATGTAGCAAAAATATCCATTGTCGTCGCTTTATACTAACAGATACATCGGTTAAGATTTCAGGACGTCGGAAATCAAGCTTTTGGAACTCACAGGAGGACACAAATTGAACTTCCTAGAGTACTGACGACATGTGAACTGTCAGTCATGGACGCAGTCCCGAACTGGGAGGAGGATTTGTCTCAATTAATGATCAGATGATCAAACATTGTTGAAGCTATCTGATCAATGGAGGTTTCAAGTTGCAAGAGGCAGAATTTTCAAGATATCCACAGGGGAGTGTGGCTCTGTCGTTCCAATTTTGGTATATTGATTTGCTGTAAGCAATTTTGGTCGTTCAGTGTATAAATTATTTAATTTTATCTAATTATATTAGGAATATGGAGTGCCATTTACTTTATTGTGGACAAGAAAATTAGGTTTAAACTGAAAGATTTTGAAATTTAGAGGGGGAAGTTATACAAATTTTGAAGAAAATCAAGGGTTAGGTAGCAAAGTGAAATTTAAAAACTGTGAATTGTAGGCTTGTAGCTAAAAGATGAGTATTGTATAATAGATTATTTTTGGAATTATTCAATTTTTAAGGTTTGAAGTGTAGAATTTGGCAATGCGAGGGTTAAATGGACATTGAACTTTTTTTTCTTTTCTTTGTTTTTTTTTCAAATTTGGACAAGAGGTAATTGAAAAAAAATTTGTTGTATCTACAGCGGCCATGTACCAAGAAATGGAAATTCTTTTTTTATTTTTATTTAACGAAAGTCCATTGATCATTAAATCCTTTGCCTTCTTGAACATCGTGATAAATTTTAGATTTAAATATTATTTAAGTTATTTTACTTTTGATTTTGGCATATGTATTTTAAAAATGTGGTATTTTTACTTTTGACTTTGGTCATTGTATTTTTAAAAATGACTATTTTAATTCTTTCAATTTTATTTTGGTCATTTCTTTCTATCACAAATTTAACAAACTACTTCACTTATTAAATTTTTTTGTCATAAATTTATGTTAAAGAATTTATATTATTTATAATTTTTATAAATATGGATTAGTATAGAAATATATTTGATTCTTGTATTTTAATTAAAGTAATGGTTTGGTACTTGAACTTTTAAAAGGGAAATTGACATATATAATCTAGAAAGTTTGTCACTTTTCTTGAATGACTTAAGAGTTTAATTTCTTCTCTTTATCTAGTGTGCATGATTATTTAAATTAACAAATAATCGTTACACAATTTCTAAATAAGTTAAAAATAATTAAAATTAATATTTTGTCTATAATTAGTAAAATTTTGTTGATATTTTTATATTTAGTCGAACATGTAATCGAAATATTTAATATCATGATCAGTAATAAACTATAAAAACAAACAAATGAAAAAATACCCAAAAGGGCAAAAGAGGAATAGAGGAATAAAAGAAAAAAAAATAAAAACAAACAAAAAAAATCCAAAAGGGCAAAAGAGGTATAAAAGAAAAAAAACGATTCACTTGAAAAGCGCGGCAACAGCAAAAGCGCTGCAACTCGAAGTTGTATCTTCCAATTTTTTACCTCAAATGCAAAACGTAACGGAACAACTGATCCAACTCCTCCTTCGCTTTCCCCGTTCCACATATTCTCATCTTCTTCTCTTTCTCTCCCATGATTATCACGCCCATCGTCGCCAATGCCGGATTTCGGATCGAGTCCTTTCTGAGAAATGGCGGTGGCGGCTTCGTAATCTGGTGGTAGCTTCTGCGCGAGCCAAGAGGAAGGGTTTGTCTGCTTTCTTTTTCTTCTTTTACGCGTTATTCTGCAATTTCCTTTTAGGGTTTTTGATTTTTTGGTTTTGGGTGTAGAGAACTGGATTGGATGTCTCTTGGCTCTGCGAGGAAGTTGGAATAATCCTCATATTCGTGTTGAGTTATGGGGATTTCGTCTGATAATGTTCGTGGGTTTGTTCTTGCGGTTTCTTCCAGCGTTTTTATTGGATCTAGCACGATTATCAAGAAGAAAGGCCTCATCAAATCGGCGAGTACCGGAACCAGAGCAGGTTTAGTTTAATTGAGCGAACCAAAGATTAGAAGTAATTGAAATATTTTAGAATTTCAAAGAAATCGTATCATTGTAGATGATGTGTTGTTTGGTTTAATTTATTCAGCATCTGGAGGCTTTTCGTACTTGCGTGAACCTTGGTGGTGGGCTGGGATGATAACAAGTAAGTTTTACTACTTCTTCATGTTGTAAAATCATCGAGGGACTGTTTGGTAATGTTATCGTTTCTTGTTTCTTGTTTCCACTTTTTCGATAAAGGAAAATGTGAGCATTTGATAACTATTTCTTGTTATTTGTAAGTCAAGAATGATAAAACAATATTTTTATTTGTGTTTTTGAAAAAAATTTGAAAGAGAAACAAGAAATTTGATTTTATCATTCATTTCTAAAAAGTGGGAAAGAAGTAATATAAATAGTAGGTGAATATAACTAGGAATAAGAAACAAGAAATGGGAACGAGAACGTTACCAAACGAGTCCCAAAGGGTTCTATCTATTGCTTTTCCTACAATACCTCCTTGTTCTGTTATCATGATTTTCTATTTTAGCCTTTTTTTTTTAATTTTTTGTTTTTATCATTGTTGACATTTAGTTGCATGGAATTTGGACCTCATGATAATATTGATACGATAAACCTTGTTTTTTCCTTTGTAGTTTGTACAGGGTGTATGTATGTTGCTTTTATTTTTCATTTGTTAGGATTAGGACCTCACATAAGATACATGTTCATATACTTGTATTTCCTTCTTTTAGAACATTGAACCTTGCATACATCTCTACATTAACATTAGCATGGTATGTCCAATTAAGGATAAACTTTATATTATTCTCATAAAATGTATAATTTCTTACCTCTAATTAATATGAGACTTCAATTGCACTATGAAGGTTTGAACACCGTCTTAATCTTATCCTCATCTTGTAGGCTTGAATATTGGGCCCATTCTTATTCTTTATATTCATTTTCCTAATGAAGTTTTTTTTTTTTTTTAAAAAAAATGACTTTTATAGTGATTTGCGGGGAGATTGCAAATTTTGTTGCTTATGCATATGCTCCTGCAATTCTTGTCACTCCCTTGGGAGCTTTGAGCATTATTTTCAGGTATGTATCACATATCTGGTCTGCAGTCATTATAGGAAAAGGGGAAAGAATAGTTCGCTCTGTGCTTACCTCACGGCTGCGTGTCTGCAGTCGTTATGTAACTTGAACCTTTTATTGGCTTATCACTTTTAGCCAGACGCCTAAATGCTTAGAGATGGATTTTGAAAATTCATTTGCTAGTGAAATTTTAGTGTGATCGATACTGACTTTAGCTTGTGATGCCCCATAATTGTTGAATAAAACAATTTCATACAGTGCAGTCCTAGCTCACTTTATTTTGAAGGAGAACCTGCATATTTTTGGAGTTCTTGGTTGTGTTCTCTGTGTTGTGGGTTCTACAACCATTGTTTTGCATGCTCCACTGGAGAAAGATATTGAATCTGTTAAGGAAGTGTGGCATCTTGCAACAGAGCCAGGTATTATTTATTGGAGTTTTCTAAGGGTCCATTTGGTTGTGTTCTCGTTTCTTGTTTCTTATTTCCAATTTTCTTAAGAAATGTAAGTATTTTACCACGAACTTTGTTTCTTGTTTCTCCTTTTTTGGAAACATTCTCACAATTGTATAGAAATTTTGGAAATAACTAAAACAAGTTTCTCCTTTCTTGTTCCTATTTCCAATTTGTTCCAAAACATAAATAAAAAAAATTGTTTTATCATACTTGAAATTCTTGGAGGTTGGAATCATGTAATCCATTTTTCTTCATTAAAAATAAAGAATCGGAAACAAAAAACAGGAACGTTACCAAACGAGCCTTAAAGTTCTTAGTTTTGAACTTCTTGAGTTGGATGATAATTTATGATCCACTTTCAGGATTCCTGGTCTATTCATCTATAGCAATAGTTGTAGTTGCAGTACTCATTTTTTGGTATGCCCCAAGATATGGCCATTCCCATATGATGATATACGTTGGAATTTGCTCAGTCATGGGCTCTCTTACGGTTCGTTTACTGTCTTTGGAGCTTGATAGCACTTTTTAATTTCACTACATCTTTCAATGACTATGATATTTTTCGGATTTTTCTTTTCAGGTTATGAGTGTCAAGGGAGTAGCTATTTCTATCAAGCTGACATTTTCGGGAATGAATCAATTCAAGTACTTCGAGACGTGGTTCTTCACTGTGCTTGTGATAGTCTTTTGTGTTTTGCAGGTGATCTACTTGAACAAGGTAAGGTAACGTTTTGAAGTATTTGGTAATATCTTTTTTAACATATTGTTATTGTATGTTTAAAATAAATCCTACCTGCAATCCGATCATAGTTTATTGGATAAGACACCTATTACCATCCTAAAAGTTGGTGATTCTATCTCCCACCCCTTTAATTGCTACCCTCTGTACAGAAGAGTTTTTTGTAATTAAAATGATTTCTTGTGCTTCTAAATCCTAAATCTAGTCTAAATATATTATAAAAAAAATAAAGCATTGATTATATATTCAAGTCTATTTGCAAACCTTGTTGGATTATGGATAATTGGTTGGCCCTTTTTTTATTATTTACTTATTTTTAAATGAATTGTATATTCTCTTGCTGCTAAAGTCTAGATATTATATTTGATTTTGTAATATTATATAGGTTAGATTGTTGATATGGCTCTAGTATTTTAAAATGTTTCTAATCGATTCTTGGACTTTCAAGCATATGACTATTTAGTCATTATACTTTAAAAAGATTTTAGGTTAAAAAACACTTTTAGTCCATATACTTTCATTAATGTAACAATTTAGTCCTTAAACTTTAGTTTGTAATGATTTAGTTTCTATACTTTCAAATTTGTAACAATTTAGTCCTTGAATTTTAATATGTAACAATTCAGTTCTTGTAATTTAAAGTTGGTAACGATTTAGTCCTTGTCGTGTATTTTTTTTGTTAAGTTTCTTGTATGTATAGATTAATAAACTAAAGAGGGACCAAATATGTTTATGAATTAGAAAGATTAAATTGTTATACGATAAAATTTGACACTTAATTTTAATGAAAAATTTTACGATAGAGACTAAATTGTTACAAATTTTAAACTATATGGACTAAATCGTTACAAGTTAAAGTCCAGGGACTAAATTGTTACTTTAGGGAAAGTACATGGACTAAATTTACAGACTGAAGTTCAAGGACTAAATTGTTACTTTATTGAAAGTACAAGGGCCAAATGTGTTATTTAATCAAGATTTTAATAGGTCTTTGAACTTTTAATTTTATGCTTAATAGGTCCTTGCCGCTAATTGTATTAGTTTAAGAGAACTCATTAAAGTAGGTTATTTCTATTTGAAACTTTTTTAAAGTATAAGGACTAAATAGATAAAATAGGTCGGTTATGAAATTTATAGTTAAACCCATTATATATTTAAAATATGTCAAATTATGCACACATATACTAGAAAACTACTGTGTCATCAGCATGTTGGGTCCTAATCTTGTAATTTTCGTGTCGCCATGTTCATTCTGTGTCCTATCCTTCTCGTGTGTCTGTCTGTGCTTTTGTACATCATGAATATACTTTGACAATATTTCTTCAAATTAGATGTCGAGGAAGTTTGATTTTTATAGTTTGTTCACCATCTTCTCCAGGCTCTTGACGCTTTCAACTCCGCCGTCGTATCTCCAGTTTACTATGTGACTTTCACAGCTTTTACCATCTTTGCCAGTATGATTATGTTTAAGGTGAGTAAATTATGCTCCATGAGGTCGAGCAAGAGCATGATTCTGGAACTTTTATCTATTTTCTGCTTAGTCCTGAAAATTTTTGTTCCAAATTATTGAAAAGGAGATGTACCACAATCTGTTGAGAACAAAAATTGAGAACCGAAATTGAGGTTTTGGAGATTAAAAGAACGAAAGTGGAAAGTTGTTAAGAGTTTAGGAACTAAAACAAAAATTCTAATAATCTAAGGAGACCAAAATGAAAATGAGATAAAAAAGCTTAAGGACCAAAACCATACTTAAACCAACAAGGAAAGGAAAAGAAAAAGGCCCATGTTTTCATGTTGAAGATTTACTTCATTTTTTTTGGCAAGCAACATAGAATGGCCTATTTAAACCATATCCCAACTTCCCTCTGTAAGTCAGTTGTGGGGCAAGTTTTCTGCCTTCATAGATCAAGTGTTGGCATCCATAGGAAGTTTTCCTGTAAAGTCTTTCACTGTTGCTTGTGAGTCTGTGACTGATGTTTTGTTAGGATCTTGATTACAGAACGTGAGAATATAACTATATTGTAGTATTAGCAGATAAATTACAATGTTAATAGTCTTTCGAGAGGGTTCTCTCTCCCAAGTCCCACAGTAAACTATTTCTTAAAAATACTCCGCGCTCTCCTCTAGCTTCCCTACTATTTATAGCCAACTCACCTCTAATCAATTATCGTAATACCCCCAATTAATATCCTAATAATAATCCCTATATATTCCCTACTAGTAATCTCACATGTTTCCATTCTCTCTCGCTTAATGATGAGATGTTGGCACTTTCAAGAGTAGCTTTTAGGGGGCGTTTGAGACACAGGTTCAGCATTTTAAGTCTAAGAACTTTAAACTTGGGGTTAAGGTGAAGAGTTTAGAAAGCCTAGATTAAGGAAACCCGTCGGAGTTATCTCTTGAAGCTAGTTGTGGAGCGGGCGAACACACCCCTGGAATAGTAGAAATGGACCATAAGCATAATACAAGAAGTGAGGCTCCCCATTCTCTAATCATAAAAAGTAGAAGTTTCAAATGTTTGAAGTTTTCCAGTAATGTACTGTGCCTATGGGTGATATTTCCATTGTTTCTCTCACTTGAACAAAACTTCTCTCTCTCTCTCCTCTCTGTGCAGAACTGGGACTCACAAAGTGCAGCACAAATTGCAACTGAAGTTTGTGGATTCATCACCATTCTTTCTGGCACCTTCCTCCTCCACAAAACCAAGGACATGGGAAAAAGTCCTGCCACAGAACCCCCCGTGTTTCAAAGCCAACAAGACCAACCCCGTGAAAATCAAAGTCTAGGTAGCAGTAGAAGATCATAGTTTTGAACAGCACTATGCCCATTTGGGGACACATCATCCAGCTGAAAAAAGTTTCTCACAGCAAAAAAGACTTTTTGCCTGAAAGCTAATTCATTATTTTGTTGCATATAAATTAACTGATACTGATATGATATGCTGCAGAAGGTTGATAATTTGCTCCCTCATTTATTGGAAATATTCTGTGGACCACCCATCTCCATGTCCTTGGCCATGTAAATGATTTTTTTCTTTCTTCTACTCATGTTTAAGGTTGAATTCCGATCTGGCTCGGTATGAAATGAACTTCTAATTATGAAAATGATGATTAGATTATTGGTTAGAAATTTGTAATCCTAGCTTATTTGACATGGTGGGAAGGATAGTGAAACTAAGAATTTATCTCTCATGCTGCTCAAATTTCTGGGTATAATTTGTAGATTTGAGCTCCTAACATAAAGGCTGCACATATTAAAACCCTTTTAAACATGCAAACATGACTTGTAAATTTTGCTTAAAAGATTATTTTAATCATTGTCAGGAATTATTTTTATGAATATAAAAATTTGAAATGACGTGTCTTGTTCATTAATAAATGTATTTGAATGATGATGAATTCATATTTCTACGAAATAGTCAATGAAATATTAATAACAAATATCAAACTAGTCTTTTTTGTATAAAACTTATGGACTAAGAGGCTCAAAGTTTAAAAACTAAAATGAAAATATTTGAATTATAGAAAATAAAGTATAAAAGTTCCTGAACTAAAATTGATTCAAATCTATAAAAATATTATAATAGAAAATGTTTTTAAAAGAAAAATAGACAACCAAAAATTGGTCATGACAAGGTTGACAACTATTGTCTTATGAACCAACTACCATTCAAAAAACAGAGTTGACTCAATTATTTATCTATTCGTATTAATTGATAACAAGTTTACAACAAAAATTTTAAAGTAATGAGTCGAAAATTGAAATTATGTTGAAACTATCCGGATTAAATTGTTAATTAATGGCCTAAATTATATTTTGGCAATTTTATTATATTTTGGTTCCTATGCTCTATAAAAACAACTATTTTACGCCTATTTTGACCATAGTTAGAATATTTAAAAAAAATTATTCAATACTCTAGGAAATTTGTTATTAATTTGTTAAAATAAAAAATAAAATTGAGGACCAACTTTTTTCCTTTTTTTCTTTTTCTTTTTTTAAATTAGGGGCTAAAATAAACTTTTTTTAGTACAATACGTGGGGTGAGGTATTCGAATTCACGGTCTTCTAGTCGGACATAGGTACTTTAATCTACTGAAATGTTCATGTTGACGGAAAAAAAAAAACATTTAAGAATTTAGGGATTGATCGATCTGACTGGCGTCTCCTGCATCTCCTGCATTTCCATGGGTCGAGAGTACGAGATTACTGACCGAAGACTCATCAATTGAGACGGCGGAATCGAAGCGAAGAAATTCTACGTTCATGCCACGACGATTTATATAGAATGACATTCTTGTTGTCACATATGAGAATAGTAGGCCCATAAAAAGTGACTCTCATATCTTGTTAGAATTGTCTTGATCGTCGGATATCATTGAGAAATAGGAAGAAGTGTTATCAGAATAGATATTTTAAAGGTTAGATTTAAATCTAATTTAATTTAGATTAAAAAGACAAAAACGTTTTTTTTTTCTTTTCCAATCATTTTCCGACCAAGGATAAAATAAATAAATGCTTGTGGATTATGAGTGTGTTATATGTTATGTCCCTTTATTTCCTGAGGCTTCTAGTTCTTTGTCTTTGGCGCTGCCACTTTTAACGAAAAAAGCCCCGATTACTGCGCTCCAAACCAAAATTCTTTTACTTCCTCTCATAAATTCTCAGACGAGAGAGGACCCTTCTTCTCCAACTCCTCCACTTCCTCGGACCTCACTTCTTTTGTTCAAATTTTCTCTTCAAAGTCGCCTTCTTTCGGTGTTTCAACTTCCCAATTCACCAGGTAAGTTCAAATCCCTGCTTCCGCTGTTCAATTTGGTGGTTTCTCGATGTGGGTTTTGTTTGATTTTGAGTTTTTTGGCTTGGGGTTTTGATGGATCGTTCTGCTGGGTCTGAATTTTGATTGAGATTAGCTTTGCGATTGTTTTTATTTTTGTTCTTGTTCTTGCGTTTGAGAGAGGAATTGGGAGTTTGATTGGGTGTGATGATTCCTCCGAAGCGGAAGAAATGGACTGAAGCTGAGGAGAGAACTTTGATTGATAAGTATGGAGAAATGGTCTCTGATGGAACCCTAGGGAAGATGAAAACTCGCGAGAAGAAGTTTAGGCCAATTGCTAGTTATGTGAATTCTGCGCACCATGTTCAAGATCCTGTGGCGTATCCATGGCAGTGGACTTGGAAAGACGTCTCTACTAAAGTCCAGAACATGAGGCACCAGTATTTGCTTGTGAAGCAGAAGATTAAGAAGCCCGAATCGGAGGTTGAAAACTCGGGTGGGGACTCTAAGGCAGAGTATGACTGGATGGAGGGTGTGACATATTGGTCAAACTTCTTGAGATATAAGGATGTTTTTGGGGATGTGGCTGCGGCTGCGGTGAATAGTAACTATAATGATTTAGCGGTTGTTTCGAGTAGTGACCGAGGGAATGTAGACCAGTTTTTGGAGGTGAGTAGAGAGATGGATATGTTGGACTTTTCTCATATGGGGCATTCTGGGGCGGGGAACTTTGCCTCCGGGATTGATGGTGTAGACAATGGGGTGATGGGTTTGGGGTTCGAGTTCGAGGGGGACGAAGCGGGAGAAAACTTTAATGGTAATGATCAGTTAAAGGAGGATGGGGAGAACGGGTTTTTGTGTGAAGAAGTTGATCCCAAGAAGAACAACTTGAAGAAGAAGAGGAAGGTGATGAAGAGATTGGAGAAGAAAGCATGGGGATTTGTTGTGAACCAGCTAGGGCGGTTGAAGGATATGGAGGCTCATTTTGAGAAACATGAGGTGGAAAGAGAGCAGGAGTGTCGGAGGTGGGAGCGTTCGAGATTCGAAATGGAGAAGAAATGGGAACAAAAATGGGAGGAAAGGGAAATGCAAAGGGCGGAGCGGGAGAAAGCCAGGGAGAAGTCGAGGAAGCAAAGAATTCAAGAATGGGAAGCGATGGAGGAGGAGAGACTCGAGTTGGAAAGAAGAAGAGAGGAAAAATTGAATCACGAGAGAGAATGGGAGGAGAGGATGAGCAAGAGAAGAATAGAATGGAAGAATAGGATTGACGATATGTTGAACCAGCACCGAGTTGAAATGAATCAGATCCAGACTCGGTTTCTTCACGACCAGCAAAACCTTACCGCTCAGTTACTTGGCATCATCTCTCAATGGACGGCTACTGCTCACCCTTCTGCACTCTCTGATCACACTACTGCTAGTAACCATTATCTTTCACAGATGATGCAAAGTTTACATCATGTGAACGGAATCGTTCACGATGGCACGAGAGTTGAGGCAGACAACCAAGACGATCAATTTATCGTCGATGGTTGACATCTCGTCTTATGAACTCCATCCGAAAACCATGTGGAATCTGCAAGAATATTTGCAGCAATGGATTAGTCTGTAAAGGTCTGAGATAGATGTATGCATTCAATTTTTACTATCTGGTGCTAATCTGTTTAGCTTGAATTGAGACAATAAGAAATAAAAGTTTCCTCTTTATCTTTTATTCTTACCTTCTCCTTTTATGCTGCAGATTCTATTTTCTTTTCTCTTAGTCAATAAAATTATACAAAATTCACTAAGCTTTATAATGTCACATTGCATTTCCCGATATATTTGCCCCTCTCCCCTGTTATATATAAGAACAAGCAAGCTAACAAGTCGGGTTTTGGTTTAGTTCATGAATTCTCGCATCATTCGGGAGACTCCGAGAGGGACAGGATCACCTTGACAGAGGTAAAGTAAAAACTCTTATTTTTCAAAATTTCCCCTCTTCTTGTTCTAGGACGAGAATGGTTTGTGGTTGCGCACATGGGAATCGTGTTTACATAAGAATAATGATTTATTGCAGTTGATCATTGAGCATAAGTTCAAATTTATAGGTGTGGGACCTGTGGTATTGTTGGTGAATTAGGGCGTTATCAAGCTACTTGTTGATCTAGATTAAGATTATAACAGGGAACACATTTGAAATTGCTTTGTTCTGCCTCAAGAAAAGAAGTTTCAAGTTCTGAAAAAGCATATAATATTAGCTTGAAGTTGATATTTGCAGGCTCCTATAAAAAAGCGCTGAAATATGACCTTATAAATGAGGGGAGAGTTCGATCCTTTAATCCATACTTGTAAGAGATTAATATCTGATCATTTGAACGATGTTCATTTTCACATGTAATCATGTTGGATAGTGACGAAAATGTTGATATTACTAAAGATCGAAGGTAGTCACGAGATGAGGAAAAATTTGAAGTGAAATTATATGTATATATTGAATGCCTAATATTAGAGTGTTGAAATTGTTTGGGTCCCATTCATATCTAGTCATTTGAACAATGTTTTAACTCGACATGTTATATGAAAACTTAAAACATTATTGAATGTAGTAGGTAGTCACGCGACATAAGAGTAAAGTTTAATTTTTTTTTTTTTAATTTTGAGAATTTAGTAATGCATTCTATTTCTACATATTTGTCAATTGACCTATCTAGTTGCATGAATTTATATAATTAAATAAATAGTAGCTTATTATTATTATGTAATTATTAAAATTTTAATGAAGTCAAAAAAAATTATTAAAATGTTAATAGATATAAGATTATAATTTTAATTAGCTACATTGAAGATTTAAACCTTTTCATTTTCATTATACGTTTATATATATTTAAAATGAACCGTTCAAAGAATGAAATATTTACTAAAAGAGAAAGGTTAAATTATAAAGATAGTCTGATAATTTTAGCACTCTCTCTATTTAGTTTATAAATTAAAAAAAATTATTATTATGTTTTCTAATTTCAAAATTTATCTTTACTTAGTACCATCATTAAAAAAAATGTTTACATGACATACTTGATAAATTTTGATTAAATTGAGGGCTAAAGAAGATTTATTCAACTATCTATTTATTTATCATAAACATTTAATTTCGACTTGATATTCATGATATAATATTCTAAAATTTATATTATTATATCTCCTAGTCAAAGTCAATATAATATTGACATTGGTTAATTTGAAAATAGTTCGATAGATGATGCCTCCATTATCTTTTCATAATAATAAAAATAATAATTAATTAATTAAAATCGTAGGTTAGAAGTCCGATTTTATATTTGTGATCCAATATTACAATTTACAAAAGAATTTATAATTCTAGAAAACAAAAGAAATGGCAATTTGTGTTGGGAGGGTGGAGATGCGACGCACATGATTAAGCAGAAGAGCAGCGCCGCCCTCTACCGTCGTCGGCATCTTCATCGCCGGCCGTCGTCGATCGCCAAAACTCGGTTACTTCTTCCATCGACTTTCCTGTTCTCTTACCTTGTAAACTCTGCAGTATAGGGTGAAATTTGGTTTTTGAGGATGAATCAGATTTGCAAGCGCTTGCTTCGTGTTCGAAACCGTCTTCCTTCATCGTTCAGCAGCAGCAATGGCCATTTCCCGTATGTAAGTTCTTCGATTATACCACCTCTGCATTACCCTCCCAAGTTCGCGCTCTCGATTCCCGCCTTTTCGGGTTCGATTACGTTTTTGGTTCATTTTTATTCAGAATTAGGATCTTACTGTACTCTTAGTGAAGCTAAAGTGGAAGATATTTCGGAAAGCAATGCGGATAAGGTACATAGAGCTATCGTGGATAATTCTTACGCGCATCATGACATGGAGAATGCCCTTGACCAAGTGGGCGTCCATTTGAGTACTGATTTAGTTGCTGAGATCCTCCATAGGCTTCGTTTTGATGAGAAATTAGCGTTTAGATTCTTTACATGGGCTGGGCGTCAAGAGAATTATTCCCATGAGCCTTGTGTTTACAATGAAATGATTGATATACTTTCCAGCACTAGGTACAAGGTCAAGCAGTTTCGAATTGTTTGTGACATGCTTGATCATATGAAGAGGAATGGCAAGAATAATGTTCCTATTGATATTCTATTTGGGATTTTGAAGAACTATACAGAGAAGCATTTGACTCACTTGCAAAAGTTTGCGAAGAAGAAGAAGATAAGAGTGAAGACACAGCCGGAAATCAATGCATTCAATTTGTTACTGGATGCTTTGTGTAAATGTAGTCTGGTTAAGGATGCTGAAGCTCTGTTTAAGAAGGTGAAGAAGAAACTGAAGCCGGATGCAAACACTTATAATATATTGTTCTTTGGTTGGTGTAGAGTTAGGAATCCGGGAAGAGGGATGGGTGTATTGGAAGAGATGATCGAGCTCGGCCACGAACCTGATAATTTTACTTATAACACTGCTATCGCTTCCTTCTGCAAAGTGGGAATGCTGACAGAAGCAGGTAAACTCTTTGAGTTCATGAGAACGAATGGTTCTACCTTGTCTTCTCCCACTGCAAAGACTTATGCAATAATGATTGTAGCTCTTGTTAAGAATGGTAGAATGGAAGAATGCTTTAAGTTTCTAGAACACATGATAAATAGCGGTTGTCTTCCCGACGTTTCTACATACAAGGAACTAATTGAAGGGATGTGTTTGTCTGGAAAGGTTCAGGAAGCTTACATATTTCTGGAAGAGATGGGAAAGAAAGGTTATCCTCCCGATATTGTTACTTATAATTGTTTTCTTAAGGTTCTTTGTGATAATAAAATGAGTGATGATGCAGTTAAGCTTTGTGAAAGAATGATTGAAGTCGGTTGTTTGCCCAGTGTACAGACTTATAACATGTTGATTTCTATGTTTTTCGAGATGGGTGATGATGATGGAGCTTTCCAGATTTGGGTTGAAATGGATAAGAACCGTTGCACACGGGATGTTGATACATATTGTATAATGATTGAAGGGCTTTTTGATTGCAACAAAGTTGGAGAAGCATGTTTCCTTTTAGAGGAAGTGGTTAACAAGGAAATGAAGTTGCCTTATCGTAAGTTTGACTCATTTCTGATGCAGCTCTCTGTTAACGGTAATCTCCAAGCAATCCACCGGCTTTCTGAACACATGAGAAAATTTTACAACCCTGCCATGGCCAGACGTTTTTCTCTGAACCAAAAGCGGATGAGCTTGAGTTTGAGAGGAAAGTAACAAGATTGGTTTGGAAGTAGTATCCAAATTGCTTCTCACATTGGAAGTAGCATGCTAGTTTGAGAAGCTTTCAAGTTCCATTGCCTTTTTAAAGTGCTCCTGTGTCACACAACAGCATTTCTGGACAATGTCCTCTAAAGAAAAGATACATATGAAAGTTCTTGCAGTGAATAGGGTATAGGTTGATGTATCTTAAGGAATTTCCAAATTTAGACTCAGAATCTAACTCTCTTAGTATGGTTAGGTGGCTATAACTTCAAGGGAGCTGCCTCAATTAGTGATCAAAATTGAAGGGCAGAATGGAATTAAACAAGTAAGCAACCGAACCTTCCCCAAAAAGGATTGGATGAACGGTATACTTGTGCTGTTGCAAGGGTTTAAATTCATTTCCCTTCAGAGGCTGAGGTCGTCCTTGAATAATTTCGAGATTTTATATATGACATCCTCTTCATGGTTTATTTATTTTATTGGACATTCTTGGTGCCTTTTAATATGTTAAGAACCATCTATCATGCATTGCCAAACAAGACTTGTACAATAGCCACAACATTTTTTTATTCAGAAAGAAGGTAATACAGATACAGTTTCCAACTTGCACATGGCCTAGCAGATTTATGGAATATGACACTTTCCCATATGTACCTTTATATACATGTTACAACTATGCGCATTGTACATTTCTCTTCAGGATCAAGCTGCAGAAACCATTAAGGGCAGCTAATGGTTGCCTTGTAAGTGGGATTTCTTTTCTTCATTTCTCTTAATACGTTAGCTCAAAGGTCTGATCTTCATCACGGTATCCACAATGATGTGCCCTATTTCGGGGTATTTAAACTCTAAAAATTTCTGGACAGTAGCCTGAGAGAGACAATCCTCGTTCACAGCGACCGTTGAGGGAAGAGCAAAAAGCACTTCATTGCCGTCTTCCTCAAGCTGAAGGCCAAAGATTTGGCCAAAGACCTGAACAAAAAACTGTAATTATTTTGCTGAGAATGTAGAACAAACTTCTGGATATAACCAAATTAAAACCTCTGACATCACAGAAATGTCAACAACAGCAGTCTTTCAGCAACAATCTAATTCTATTACCTCGTAGTCTCTAGTTTATCGGAAAGCTTGCAGCTATGGAGGTAGGTGCTAATTGTGTATCTATAATGTGCTTTTTAGTTGTCGAAAATATGTTACAAGTTATCCTTGCTTACCGCTTGCATCTTCGAAATAACTGTGTCATTAATGGCAGGGGACTGTGTGACCAAGTTAACTACAAAGAGACCTTGCTCAGATAGGACATCTTTTGCAGTCTGAAGAAATGATTCTTCCAGAAAATCGGCTGCAGGACAGATCATTCCAGAGCTATACAAGGAGGAAACTTTTTAAGGTACATGAGATATTTTGAACTATAATAATCCCAAGTTCAAAATTGCGTTAAATGATGTCCAAGAAGTCAAATTTCACCTCGTGTCGAAAGAGTCAACGTCGATGATTAGTATGTCGATCCTCTTGGTTTTTAATCCGTTGATAGCAGATGCTGCCTCAGTTGGTGAGCTTTTGACTTCTTTCAGAAACTGGACTCCATCAGCAATATGCACCTGAAATGCCAAGAAGAATCCAAAAAAGGTAATTAGCTTCTTTCCAAGTTGATATTCGCATAGAATGAATGATAATTTCTCTATAACATTACTTACGCCAAGGGATTGTCAGTAAAGTATGACAGCCTTAAAACCTCAAACAATTTTATGTAAGATTATCGAGAACAAGAATTGATGACAATAGACACCCATATTAAGTAATAACCTTCAAATGTTCGTATCTACAAGAATTTATGCAATGACCTTCAAATGTTCATCTTCGGTAAAATCAAAGTGCTCCTTCGCAAGACCAAGGATAACTGGATCCAACTCCACCACCTAAGAAAATTAGTATCCATCAAAAGAAATTTTTGGTTTTCTTTATTCCTTTCTTTTCTCTTTTTATTTATTTTGTTTAGGGGGTAGCAATTTACGTCAATGTCCAAAAAAGGCATGGAGGCATGTAGGAACATCGGTAATAGACCTGCCCCGAGCCCGACAACTACTGCGTTAACCTGGTTGACATAATATGTTAATTTTCTGAATAGAAACCCTGTGAAAATGAAGTAGAACATTTTTTCTTCTCTTTTCCTTTCAGCCAAACAGCGTTAAAACAGGTAGAAAGCTAACTGTATTTCTTGCTGATGTTGCAGTTTCCAGATGTTCAGAGACTAATGTAAACCCTGAAATAATCCCCATATGATAAAAACTTGCCAAATAGCCATGATCCACCTTCAGCTGCTCGCTAACTTCTATTTCATTTTCCAACAGGATGAAGAAGGGCCAAGAAAACAGAGCATGTCAGCAAACCTGAAAAATTGGAACGCGGAAAGCTAACACTCATCAGAAATAAGGTTTCGATTCCCGATTATCTCACTCACTGGCAACTTTCTCAGGCGACCCTTGTTCCTTGATCAGCAGAGCTTCTGACTGCACTAGACTTTCGGTTCTCTGAAAGATCAGGCGGCGGAAAATCGGAGCTTCAGTTGGTAAGAAGCAACTGGCATCTCCTCTTATTTTTTCATACATCACATCTTCCACCTTTACTTGTCCTGTTATTGAAGAAGTGACCTGCAAAATTGCATCTAAGGTGAAAAATGAAAGTATTTGATGCAGTTCTAACCTTTTTTTTTAATTATATATATATATATATATATATATATATATATATATATATATATATAAAGTTTAGTACTACTTAGGACTCGTTATTTAGATTATAAAAAGTGTGTTGAACCTGGTTTAGAATAGTGCGCTGCCTGATCCCATCGCTTGCCATCATGAAGCTGTAGAATGCTAATCAATAAATTGAGGAAAGTTTTTACATTGAAATATCAATCTTTTACGTATGTTTATTAATTATTGATGTAACGGTATATCAAATAAGGGACCGAGATATAGCGAGATTATTAATGTTTTGACTAATAAATTTTAGGGATGCTTCATTTCTCATCTCATAAAGTTCTAACTTCTAAGATATTTCCCTTCTTGTTATGGTTGAAGTTGAAGGGAAAGCCAGCTAGCTTTCTCCTTCTCTCTCTTGTTTTTTACTCTCCTAGAAGAAGATTTGCAACTCTTTAATGCCAAAATAAAAGGTGGAAGAATTACCAGACCTATTATTGATCCTATGAGATCAGGTCATCTGAAGTAGAGGAAGCTAAAGAATCAGTTGTGTCTCATTTTATAATCATCGGAATAATTTTAAGCACGGGCTATTTTGGTCTCTATACTTTCGATTTTTGTTATTTTAGTCCTTGTAATTTTAAAATGTCTATTTTGATCTATGTATTCTCAAATTTTTGCTCATTTAGTTCTTCTATTTTCTTAACATCTATTTTGCTCCGTGTACTTGTAAAAAGTGACAATTTTGGTCCCTTAATTTTCATTCGATCGTAGTTGTAACATGACATTTACTCGTAATTTTTTTGGGAAATGTAGTCATAAAATTGTATTAAATGATTTTCATTATGTATAAAATTTATATTAAAATTTTGTAGATAAGGATCAAGATAGTCACTTTTTAAAATACATTGTTCCTAAACTGACGTTTTGGAAGTATGGAAATTAAAATGAATAAAATCGCTAAAAAAGAAAGGCATTGTATTGTTTGAAGTAGCATACGAAATTTGAATTTGTTCATCGTGGTTTTCAGCCTCGGGTGCCAATTGCTTCACTAAGGGACTCAAATCTTTCTGCAACCCATAAAGCCGATGAAATTAGTAACATTTTCCATTAGGGCAGTATAATAAATAAGTAAAAAAAAATTTAAATAATAGTGTCGCTGTTTAGGCTATGATATCGTTCATATTTATGGTTGTGAGAATAAGTCTCGGGTGCATAATTTAATTGGTTATGTCATCTATCTCAACCTAAAAGATCATGAGGTGAACTGATAAAAYTCATAGAGGAGAAATATAGACAACTTTAAATTTATAACCTACATATGTTTCAATTAGAAGACATTTTACTTTATCGATATTAATATCAACCGAATCAAATTTAAGTTATAGTTAGTACAATTATTGAAGATTCAAGATATCAATCATATAATTATATCGAAATTGTTATAAAAGGTTTTGTTTTTGTATTTTTAAAACGTACGTTTTGGTCCATGTATTTTTTTAAAAATGACTATTTTGGTTTTTATTTATAAAATTTTAACACAAAATTTATATACAATGGAAACCTTTTAATACAAGTTTATGACTACTKTCAATAAACTTAATGAGTGAATATCATACTAAAATTTTGATACAAATAATAAGATAAAAATGAAAATRAATAAACCAAAATCGTCACTTTAAAAAAATATAGAGATTGATTAAAACAAATGTTACAAAAGTACATGGACTAAAATAAAAAAAAAAAATTGAAAAGTCTAAGGAGATTAAAATGAATATTTTYAAAATACGGAAATTAAAATAAACCGACAAGTATAGGACAAAAGAGTATTTAAACAAAAAATATTTCAATAAATAATCTTCATTTCAGGAAAGAAATTAACTCACAAAAAAATATAATAATTGTTCAATGTATAGCATGGGATCAGTAGTCACCTGAATAGTGTCCATGCTGACGTCAGTGTGGCTCTTGTCTAATAAAATCTAAATTTTACAACAGAAACAATTATTCAGTTATTTTTGTACCATTAACTCACACTTAATATTTCGATAAACAAAAAAAAAACCTTACACTTAATATTGTTAATTTTTGTAATTACAAACTCTATTGGGTACTTTTTAGGTTAAAGAATATTTTAGTTGATGTACTCTCGTTTGAGTAACGATTTAATTCTTGAATTTTAGTTTGTAACCATTTAATTCATGAATTTTAATATGTAACAATTTAGTTATTGTAGTTTAAAATTTGTAACGATTTAATCTCTATCGTGAAAAATGATTTAATAGTGTGTTTTATATATATAAATCGATCAACTAATGAAGAACCAAATCTGCTTATAAATTATAAAAACTAAATTGTTATATATAATAAAAATCGACACTTAATTTTGATGAGATTTTTCACGTTAGGGACTAAACTATTACAACTTTTAAACTATAGTGACTAAGTCGTTACATATTAAAGTTTATAGACTAAATTATTACCAATTTAAAAGTATATGAACTATATTGTTTTTTTTTTTTTTTACTTCTG